GCGTGGCTTGGAGGCCATGTGACGATAGGCGTGGCTAGCTGGTCATGTGACCGGGTGGCCATGACTATGTGTATAGGGACTACTCAGAGGGCTGAAAAAAGTCATTTCTGACAGGTCCTCTGACTTTTGACTGGTCCTCACACTTATGACCATCCTCACATTTATGCCCGTGCAGCATTCTTAACAACCATGTCACTCATTTCACAACTGCTTCTCTTCACCATGGTGACAAGATAGGGTAAAAAACGTAAAATGTGAGGACAGTCGTAAGTTTGAGGACTGGTCAAAAGTGCGAGGACCAGTCAAAAATAACTTTTTCAGTCCTCTGAGTAGTCCATATGCACAAAAGGACTATCCAGAGGGCTGAAAAAAGTGATTTCTGACAGGTCCTCGCACTTTTGACTGGTCTTCGCACTTATGACTGGTCACCATTGTAGCATTCTTAACAACCGTGTCACTCATTTCACAACTGCTTCTCTTCACCATGGTGACAAGATAGGGCGAAAAACGTAAAATGTGAGGACAGTCGATATTGCTTAACGCATTGTAAGCCACCCTGAGTCTTCAGAGAAGGGCGGTATATAAATCAAAAATTAAAAAAAAAAAGTTTGAGGACTGGTCAAAAGTGCAAGGATCAGTCAAAAATAACTTTTTCAGCCCTCTGAGTAGTCCATATCCACAAAAGGATTCAATTATTTCTTCAAAGTGCTGATGATTGCACCCTGGCTGGAAGAACTCCAACGGCAGTATTTCCTCCCAACAGCGATGTAAAAAGCTTAAAACAACCCTTCCCCTTTAAGAAAGTCAAGCAAAAAAATAGCCTCCGGAAGTGACAGTAAGTCTAGGCAGTTTCTGTAATAAAGATTAGGCTAGGAAACACCACCAAATGTTGTAATTAATCCTTACAGGATTAACCCTGTAAAGTGAAAACAAACAGATTTCTTTTAACAACCAGTTTTCCTAACTACTAAACTACTTAACAACTGTTCTATTGAAGTAGAATCCCACCACTGGGTCTACCCATTTATTTTTGCAGGCACCGGTCTACTCATTTGTTTTCTTTTAACACTGATCAGCTGTAGGGCGGCCCTTTGAAGCCCCTTGGCAAGAGTTTAAACAGTTTTTTTCCCCTCTAGCCATCAGCTGGGACTCAGGAGGCAGCAATAGATTGGGGGTGGGGCCAAATAAAAGGTAATAACCTGGGGGTGGGCGGGGGGGCAGAACCAGTTCGGTGATATCATATCGTCACCGCTACCGGCTCGGCCGAACTAGGAGGAACCCACTACTGCTTCAACTGCTAAATTTGAAACCAGAAGTAGTGACTAGTTGTTAGAGGGCAGCTTTATTTGCAGGTTCCAGTTAATGGAGTAGTCTTCCTGAAAATCTTAATCCGATACAAGTTTTTAATATTATTATAATGGGCTAGGCTTTAAGAATTAATGTTACCAATGCCCCCTACAGCAACGCAAGCATGCTGTTATTTTTTCTTGCAAAAAATGCCAGTGGAGGTCCTGTACATGTTTGTTACTCAGAAGGATAACCTGGAACGATAATAAATCACACATCTTTCTTTTGTGAAGAACTGACCAGATCTAGAATCTGCTTAGAATTAGCAATTTGGTTGTATCCTGAGCTTTTCTCTGAGTAAGAGGTCATATTCTTATGTGGCATATTTCATTGAATGAGAAGAAAGTTCACAAATTATTTTGCCCATTATTTCCAGTTAAAGTGGAAACGGATGCTATTAATACTATGGGCTTTCACTTTAGTTTTCTGATTTTTATATTTACTTATGTTATTGCTTTGGTTACTTCCTAGGAAAAAAACCAAATAGTGACATGATTTTTATTGGATATATTTACTCATTAGATAAGAAGCAACTCTGATCTTCTGGCGAGTTGGCACAAGTCCGACAGTTAAAAACCTGATGAAAAAAAAAGTCCAGAATAAATCTGAGTTGCCTCCTTCAACAATTGGTAACCACTTATTTGATTTTATATAGAGGTCTGATCACAGGATGACCTTAGCAGATTTAAAGGAGGCAGTGCAAGACTGGGGCATGGAAAGTGCTTATCCATAGAGTGGCCGAGGACTGAATGGCTGACAACAGTGATGAGAGGTCTGAAATGATTTTATAGAAAGTCTTCTGATCAAATATGGTTTATATATAAATAACGGCAGTGGCAATAGCAATGAAAATCTTAAGTTCTTGGCTAAAACTACGTTTGTGCGGCAAGTAAAATCTGTCCAAATCCTTCAACTTATACTTTGCACAAAATCACCTAACCTAGATCATGGCCAACCTTGGTACCACGCTTGTAGGAATTATCCTGATATTTCCTTGGCCTTCTGAATTTTGACTTTGTGGATTAACTTTTCTTAATATTTCCTGAAACTGCTGACAAAGTATTTGGAGAAATCTGAAACATTGCTGAAAAAGGTAGATTATTTGATGGCAATTTACAACTCGGGGTAAATTGTGTGCAGTATTTATGTTCGTTTGTTTGAATTTATTAGCTGTCCAACTCCAGTGGACTCCCAACAATGGAGTTGGATCCAAAGTGGGGAAAGGGAAATTTGTATCCAATGTGGATATTATTTCTTTGTTGTTGGGCATTTTTTTTCCCCAAAATTCATATGACCACATGTGCTCAAGAAACCCCATTCAGTAAACGAGATGGTAGTTGGCTGCAGCTGTGTGTCTGACGTCCTATCGCTAGCACCTAAACTAAAAAAAAATCTAAATTTATGGGTGCAGATAGTAGGGGGAACGAACGTTGCTTACCTGAACGTTCCTTCTCGGCGCGCTGATGGAGAATCCAAAGCGTGGGTAATGTCCAACAGCTGCTGGTCTCAGGCAGGGTGAGGACTCCCGTTCTGAGGCTCCATTGGATGTTTAATCCATTATGGCGGCAACCATTTCTAGCCTTATGGCATCGGGCACCTGGCCTTCTACTCCCGCCATGGGTTCCCATCATCATGCTCAGCATGCGCCAGCGAACGCCTCCAGTCGTTATCATGACTACGATTCCTATCAGGATTCTGCTCATAGTAACAACTCCAACTGGGAGGATGAGGAATTTCGGGACTCTGAGTTCTCGGAAGACGACAACCTCATGCCGGACAGACCTCCGGTCACGAGACTTTTCCACAGGTGCTCAAGAAACCCCATTCAGTAAACGAGATGGTAGTAGGCTGCAGCTGTGTGTCTGACGTCCTATCGCTAGCACCTAAACTAAAAAAAAAATCTAAATTTATGGGTGCAGATAGTAGGGGGAAGACTCTGCTTATTGAAGGAATAGGTGACAGAGTGAATGATTTCCAAACTAGATCCAAAGCACCTTGCTCTTTTTTAAAAGGAATCTGAATATTACACACTTCTACTAAAGATGGCTTCTGGATTTTTATGTAGAAATTGTAGCCTCTAGTAATGTTCATAAGCATCCATACTTTTGTAGTTATTTTACTTATTCACGCGTAGGAATTTTCTGATTAAATTATTGGAATGTTTGTCCAGTTATTAATTGAAGTTTATTATATTTATAAACTGTCTGACTCCAGAATGACTCTGGGTAGCTTACCCTTAAAGTAGGAGAACAGAGAAGCTAAGGAACAGATAAACTACAGAACAACCCAGGGCTGTACAAAATTTTATCCCAAGTCCTAGGAGAACAGTCAGATTTTAAAGACTTGTTGAACACCAAAGGGCTAAATCATTTTAGTAATGATTTAGTTTAATTTAAAAGTAAAGAGACATCATTTCAGGTGGCAGAGGCTCACAACAATGAAAGGAGGCTTCCTGGTCATGATAGATGGTATTGTTAGATCATGGTGACCAAAATGCACCAATTTTCCCTGATCTTGCCAGACGAGACTAGAGGGGATGGATGATCCATCAAATAGTCTGGCTGTATGCCATTAAAGTTGCTACAAATAGTTCATCAATTTTACTATGATTTAAACATGTTAATATTTATTCATTTAGTAAGCATTTACTGTAAAGCCTAAGTGTTTGGTGTCTTAAATACTTTCTTCACTTTGAAATATGTCAGCAAAATTGTATTTCATGCTTAATCCTTGCTAGATTAAAGATTAGTAATAATCTTTTATTTGCAAAAGTTCCAGCGTCAGTTGCTTTGGTTGCCCACTTTTCTTGTGAAATATTATTGTTAGACTGACCTTATAAGAAACATACTTAAGAAATACTGAAGTTACTTTTGTTTAAGAAGTGGGGCATGTATGGTATGTCTTCATTTCTTGGATTAAAGAAGATACCTTGAAAGCTCTAGTGTACTGTGCCTTTGAAGGGAAATATGAATAATATGTATGATTAGACAAAATATCAGCCTCAGCTAATTAATGTTATGCTGTTTATGTACTACTACCCTATAAAGAGTTCAAGGACAAATAGCTGAATATGTTTTCACTGCCTTTTTTCTTGTGTTAAGAAAGATTAGCCTGGGAAATGTTATCATCTGTTGAACTCAGGGTTGAGTAAGGAGTTAAGCCTCTATCTGCCTATTTTACTATTACTCTAACCAAACTTTCATTGTCTTTCAGAAGGGAACATTGTTATTCTACAAAATGTGTTAAATTTTTAGAATACTTTATATATCTCTGAAGTCAGTGTGATTCTGAACTTCAGTTGTTCAGAAATTACTAGCTTCAAAGTAATTTCTTTTAAAAATAGGTCTAGAAATATACATATTGTTTTGTAAGGCAGCTGAGATATATGTTAGCTAGAAATTAAATATGCTTGCTGCTTTTAATTATTCAAATTTGTTATGAAGGAAAAATCCATTTCTTTTCGTACATGTGAAAAACTAATCTTACTTACTTTTCTTAATCTGTTCAAATTGATCTTAATAAAACATTTCTAAACATAAAACAACAAGCAAAGTATGTTGCTTCAGAAGACTTTGTATCCGTTGTTCCTAGACTTGTAAACAACCAACAAACCAAACAAAAGCCCCTACATTGGTCCATCTTTTTCCTCATAGATTACTGAATTCTGGAGTTTGTCAGATGAACTATCCAAAGAAATCCAGAACTGATGCTGTAACTTGTCTAATACTCTGATCATGGTAAGAGCACTTTTTTTTGTTTTTAAATATGCTGTTCATTAGCATGTTTAACGTTATGAGTAGTATGTCAATATTATCTATTAGATTGATAATTCATATTTCATTAGTTGCTCAAGCAGGTATACATAGTTTTTCCTCACCCTGTTTTTCCATTTAGCAATAACCTCGTGAGATACCTTGAGTTGACAGAATAACTGGCTCAAAGTCACTGAATGATTTTTAACTAGTGCTCCCTATTCCTTAGCCATTATAGCTTGTAAATCCCTAGATAGTATCAAAGATAGTTGAACTATTCATTTTTTTGGTCTTTTTGTTAGTAGAATTATATTATGTTCACTGGTGGAGAGCATGCATTACCCACAAGTATCAGGAATACACTGTAAAACAGAAGAAAAACATGTGAAAGTTTTATTAATCTGAAGGATTGGAAAGCCTTTCTTAGTAGTAATTGGTTATACTATCAGTGTTGTGATTGGTGTAACAGTTTTTTGAAAATGGTATCATAAAATTGTTTTTCCTTATAGTCTTAAATGCTAAGGCAGATTTTTCTAATTTGATACCCACCAGTTATTTTGGCTCACACATTTTAAGTCTTCTGGGTTGGAAAAGGTGTTCTAAGAATATGAAAAAATTGTAACACCGTATCAATATAATTAGTTATCTCTGCTATAGAAGTGTGTGTGTGTATGTGATAAAGAATTTTTAAATTGTGATTTAGATGCAAGTACAAAACAATGCTTCCAATACTTTTTTTTAAATACCAAATCTCATTTATATCTAAACACTCAAGAGTGTATCAAATGTTTCAAATTTAAAATATTTCTGGTTTCAAGCAGGTTATTCTAATTGTATTGGAAGTGTTTTAACACTGTTTTGAATTTGAAACAGATGTTTAGAATTTGAAAGAGGATTGTTTTTAGCTCCAGATACTTCTGAAATGTTTGGAACAGCACAGAACATTTCATATCCAAACAGAATGGAGCATTTGAAACATTGAAGAGAGGTATTTTAATTCAAATGTTTCAAATTCAAGATGTTTTGTGCTCCATCAACTCAAAATATGTTCACATCTTTCAGTAACTCATTCTAAGTATTATCTATTTCAATCGACCCATTTCTAATGGTGAACATTTAATAACATTAGTCCTCAAAGCTAACTTCCTAGCCACCAGATTAAATTTCCCAGTATACATATGGATATCGTCAGAGTCTTTCTAGAATTCATGACTGGAAAAGTATATAATATGTCATGTCATTTACATATTTCTGAATATACCATCCATATCACTAGATCTCTTCTTTATTGCACAAACTTTGTAGAATATTTAGGATTAGCATAATTATAATTTGGTAATGATAAAAGAAGAGCAAGAACATTTCTAAATTAAGGCCAGAAAAATACCATGATTGTGGATTGAAAAGCAGCTACTCTCCTGCAATAAATTAATTAAAAGAGTCTTGAAATGGGAATAGGGAGTCATTTCCCTCCCTATCTCTATCTTATTTTATGTTTCTAAATAGGGCAGGCTTATAAATTGAAAATATGTATCTTCAAACACAGTCTTATCCAGAGGTATCTGCAAATCCAGATTAGATGGCAGTGGCAGAAATTAATAAAACTGCACATGGCTCAATCTAGTAGTTGCAAAAATACTGCTTGATTGATAAAGTTCGATTTTTTTCATTAAAGAAATTGATTCCAATGTCTTGATAATGCTTCATAATTGAGTTTCAATATTTTACTAAAAATTTCAAAAGTAGTCGAAGTTAGTATTTTCTTTAGCAAATATTTTGCTTGTTAGTATCTCCCACGAGATTAGTTGTATATGGTTTCATCTTTGATATTAATTTATTGGTATTGGTATCATATTATTAATTCAAAATTTGGCCCTCCAACGGTTTACCCCGAAAGTTACCTTTCTGAAAAACATGAAGCCTAAAGTGCCCAGGAAAAATTAGATTTTTTTAAAAAGTCTGAATATTGAATCTCCAGTTGGAGATAGGAAATAGGAATACTGACGTCAAATAACACTTGTTCAAATGTAGCTTGGGTGAATTTTATAGTGGTCTTCGTTTTCCTTTTCCAATTTCTGTAAATTGTATAAATGACATACAAAATAAAACTGATGTATATGTTGCATCTATACATATTACTGTCTGAAAATTAGTTCCCTTCCAGTTCTTTTGTCTTATTTTTTGTTGTCTGCCATGCTGATTAAGTGTATCAAATTCCCACAAGCAACAACAAGAACTATGTTGGTAAATTCAAATGTAAGCTGGGAATTGGTAATATTGGTATATCAGTCAAGTTTCAGCTATAGATTCACAAATAATTGTTACATAAACCTCTTTGGTACTAATTTATCCATTGTATGGAAGCTCTTGAATGCATCTCCAGCATTATTACATTGTGGTAAGACTAGTGGAACTAACTGAAATTACAATAAAGAACTTTTCATGTACATTTGCAAACTTTGGAATAAGATTGTATTTGGAATTATAGTAGATTTCTTATCCAACATTTACATCTTCACATCTTAATTACTTAATTTTAATTTTTTTATCTTCAAAGAGATCTTGAACAGTCAGCAAGTCATTTTTTAATGACTATGATTTAATTTTTTTTTGTTTCTCACCTTTTATTTTATTGTACCTTTAGCGTTTGCTGCAGTATCTTATAATATAACTCATTTAGTTTATTTAACATTTTATGCTATTGGTGGTTTTACTAGTGATCAAGGATAATAAATGAACCTAATTTTTTTTTCCTGAAGGTGATTTACTCTGATCTTTAGAATTCTTCCAATTATAAATTTGTCTTTCTAGCCCTTGTCTCCCCCTTTTTAAAAATTGGGACAACATTTGTTGTCCTTAAGTGTTCTTTATTTCACTCAGGAAGCTGATGTTATTATACTTTTCTTTCATTTTAAACAAAATAAATATTTTGTAAATGTTTTTGCTCATAATATCCATTGCTAGTGAGCCTTAGTCTTTCTGGTATAATTGCTACAGTTTTAGATTACATCTTTGTATTGATCTTACTCTGGAGTTGGTTTGGAGGCAAATGGTGTCAAAGCTCACCAATAAATATTTAACTTTGGTGACTTCAGATTTAAAGGGAGACTGTTGATTCAAAATGTATGGCGACTTTTATATACCACCTACTGTATTGGCAAGTCCTTAATGCAATTCCATATTTTCCCAAGATCCCGTCACAGATATTAGAACTTTCTGCTATATGCATATCTATGTACAGAAGTATTTTTTGACTCTGAAACCCTATTTGTCTCCATTTCTACTTCTTACGTGTCTTTTGTTTTTCAGATTGCGTTTTTCTCCTATTTTACATTTTTTACGTCATCAAATTGCTTGTAGTTGTGCTTTTCATTTCTGTCGTTTTAAAATCTCTTGCCCATCTTCAATTCCATTTTCCATTATCTTTTCCATCATGGAAAATTATTTATCACCACTCTATTAAAGTTTGCATTATTGAAGTCCAAGATGCACTTTCAACTGTGCTATACTTTCTTAAAATCAAAAGAATTCCAGAATTATGTGATTATTATTATTATTATTATTTTTTACAAAACTTGCTGACAGTTTCACTTTTGGGAAGACTCGTGTTTAGTAGAGATAATCTCCCAACAGTGTTTAGGTAATTAAAATCTCCAATTATCTCTATTTCATAGCTCTTTGGAAACACTGCAGTTTCAAAATGGCTCTTTTTTATTGTGCAGGATCTCTCACTTTGAAATAATTTGAGTAGGTTCTCACATTGTTATTTTAATAAGACACAGTTACTAAGTAACAAATTGTGGTTTATAAACCATTCTACTTTGCTTCACAGTTAAAAAAATAAAACCATTGTGACTTAGTGTTCTTTGTTGAAACAGTTATAGGCAGTTCATGAGTTACAGCCATTCGTTCAGCGACCATTTGAAGCTATGGCACTGCTGAACAAGTGATACTTATGCCTTGTCCCTTTTTGCCAATGCATTTTCCACCCTTGCTGTCTTGCACTCTGCCACCCCAGCTGACCTTTGCTGTCTTTCTGTTCCTACTGCAGATCAAGCATGCCCAACCTGGCCTTTTGCAAGGTAGTTGCTGGCTGCACAAGGCTTTCTCCTCCAAAGTTGGGCACTGCAGTTTCCTCACAAGCCAAGGGAGAACCACTGCACCACTGCATTGCTGGGCCAGGCTGGAGTGGCTGCTGCTTCACGTTGCACACCAGTTTCTGGCATACAAAAAAGCCCGTAAGCCACAGTGTGGCAAGCAGCCTCAGAGCTGCACAGTTCTGGAACTGCTTGCTACCTTTCAAGGCACTGTGCAAGGCAGCCAAAAGGTGTGTGTGGGGATGTGTGGGATAGGCAGTTGGGAGGAATTGAAGGGGGAGGGAGAACCTTATCTTAGAACAGGGATGTGCAATTATTTTTTCCAAGGGGTCACTGTAAATCTGTTTCTTCAAACAAAAAAGTTAAAATAAACAACTTTCAAGTTTGGAATACACAAATGCAAACAATTTATCATTCATACTTAGTTGTTTTAGATTTTTTGAATTGTGGCCTGTGCTGATGATCAACTAAAATATCACTGCAATTTAGTTTGCTTTTTTGTGTTTACCATACCAACTGATTAGAAAATATCTGCAGTGTGCTTTAAATAAGAATGTAGCAATTTTCTCCTCGCTAGCAATATTAATATGCTTCATTAATGGAACGGCTTTCATGGGCAGATCCACTCTGTAGTTTGTGATTGTGAAAAGCCACCAAGACAGAACCTTACAAATCTCAGTGTATATTATGTAATCAGCTTAAGTCCAGAATTGTTGATCCTTTGGGATTTCTATGGATAAGACATGATCCCATTTTATAAGTAAGCATTCATGTGGATGCAAATATAGAAAGTATTTTGGGATAATTAGTGAGCCTGTAAGCCCCGACATTCCCAGTGTCCCTCTTTGTGTGGCCAACTGTCAGGTTTTTATACATTTATGATAAGTTTTGAAAAGGTTATTTAAACATTCTCAACTTGTATAGCTTCAACAGAAACATAATTGGGAATTCCACCTTATAAAAATGTGTGATTGTACAGACCCAGCAAATCCATTTAGCTGAATGATCTTATGGAACTCTTTTCAGATCTTCATATGGAAAGGATATTGGATATTGCCACAACATTGACAGATGGAGGTTATCTAATAAAGGCTAACCTTTATCACATAACCTCCATCCCTCAGTGTTGTGGTAATACTTGTTATCATTTTCCTATGAAGATCTGAAAAGAGTTCTACAACATCTCTTAACAGGTTAAATTTAGAGATTTGCCCTGATCCAAAAAGTTCTACTCAATACTATACTCTCATTAAGTAATGAGGAGGCCCAGAGGAACTCTTCTGCCATCCTTAAGTTTTTTAATACAAAGTTGCATTATACTCAAATTATTCAAAACCAAGCCAATAGCACAGCTTTTTTATCCAGATGAGGCCTTGTCAATTTCTTACCATTAGAATTTGTACAATCCAGATTTCTAAGATCAACCTGACAAGTCCCAAAGTGTGTTTCTAGCGCTATTCTGCAGTTAGAGATGGGAAAATGGAGGTAAGAGTGTGGATGACTATACTCAACTATTTGCTCGGACTATTTTTCTCCCCACTTGGCCTTGCCGCATTCACTATGAGAGATTATTTTTCATTTACATGGAAACAGGCAGTAGCATCTAAAAGATCGTCCTTGGGCTTCTTTCCAAGTCTTCTACTCCGGATGGATATAATCATGCCAAAGCACTTATTAAACAGATTGTAGCAGACGCAAAGCACCAATTGGATCTAGTCAGTAACCCAATCTTTACATACTTATCACAGAAAGCCTAAACACCTGAAAGTCTTTAATCTGACACAATGCCATACCTTCTTCTCAGTTTTCCTTGAAGGCCAATACAGGAAGATTCCTTATCTGGAAAGACAATGCCCCCTGATTCTGAACACACAGAAACAATAAAGCATGACTTTTTCCTACACTTGCATTACAGACACATTCATACTAGCCTCATCACACCATTACTGCATAAATACCCAAGCCACACAAGATAATTGTATACGTCCCCATTTCTTTCATATATTAATCTTTCCATAAAGTACAGTTGTTACCAGGTTCTGCACAGTGGCACTTAAAATTCATCAGATGATGATCTGTGCCATAAACTAGACTGAATGAACATTTAGTTTGCTATACTAAAGTAATTAATATGATAATCTTCACCATACTAAACTCTGCTCTCCTACATCCATCTATTGCTCCTATCTCTTTTTTAGATTCTTTTAGACTCTTGTTTTTATATATACCTTCTCTTTTACTAGATCTGTTTTTTCATATAGTATTTTTTGGACTTTGGATGTAATTTTCTCTGCTTTTTAATTGAAAGTACTCTTATCTTCCTTATGTGGTTCTATGATCATAATAAAGGTTTGATATGTATAGCATGTAAGGTAATTGGATAAATTATCTAGGTATTTAGTGTCAAAAGCTAGATGATTTTTATTTTATTTAAGACATTTATAGATGATGGACATTCTGTTTGCCTAGTCCCAAATACTATCAGTCAACATTAAAAGGTATTTGTACTATAACATTAGCTATGTGAGCTTCAGAACTAGATGATCCAGTTACATGATTTCCTAACTAAAGTAGGAAATATGGTATTTGTCAGGTTCCAGGCCCCATATGGCTCTAATAATATTTTTAATTTTAGAAAAATATAACGAGAAGCTGGCATTCTGTAAAGTATATCTAGAGTAATTTTATTTATGTATTTATTTATAAGAATGCTTGCGGGTTCTTCATCCGGTCCACAGGCATTTTTAGAAAATAAAATTAGAGGGTATTCAGTGCTTTGGGGGAAAAAAAACCCAGAACAAGCTGAGGTGATAAAGACATCATAGATAATAAAGAGAATAATATCGTTTTGGAGCGTGAATGTTTTTTTTCCCCTTCAATGAGAGTGCATTGTTTGGAGTTCATCCCTATTTAATATTTTGAGTTTTAATTTAATTTTGTTAAATTTCTCAATCCAAATCCAATTTGGATTTCAGTATGCATGTCGAAAAGATGCTTTATGTTATTGCATTCTTTCTTTTATTCCTCCCTTTTTTAATTGAGAGAGATGTTTTGCTTTTAGAACACAAGATAACTGTATTCTTTGTTCTTTCTTAACATCCCTACAAGTTTGTTTGGATTTTTTTAATTGCAGGGTGGATAATTTGTCAAGTAATGCATCCTGCTGTTATGTTTGTTTTCAAGGTTATATTGAAATTATTTCTCTTTTTTTTTCATTTTACTGTGCATCTTTTGTCTCATTTCAGAGAATCTTTATATATATGCAGAGGGATTCTGAACCCTTCTCCTGGTTGATCAGCATAATGTCGTGACACTGGAGTTTTGGTGAGCTTCCTATAGAACTAAGGAAAATGATTGAAAGAATGGCAAAAACACCAAGTCCAACTAGTATTTCTAAATATGTCAAAGTAGAATAAGAATATTGAACAAGTGTATCATTCTTCCTTTTAGTGTCACTTCAGCCCAGTGTCTACGAATCCGGCAGAATACAACAACAACAATTATATTGTAGGGACTTAGTTTTATAGGTAGGAAAACTGTTTATTTCATTAAATAACGGGGGGAATGGGAAGTGCTGCCCTATATTATGTTTTGGTTAGCATTTCTAATGTCACTGTTGTCTGTATCATTATCTTTATAACCTGCTTTGGTTTTTGATTGTCTTGTATCCTGAATCATAACCAATTCCAGTGGCAATGTAATCAAGCATATTATAAATGGGGGCAGAGCATATCTAGTATAAAAACTTTATATGCCCATTTTGTCTAGATAGTCTTATACTTTGAATTCTAAATAATCCTTACTAGTCTAATTAGTTGTAGGAGAAAGACTTGCAGAGCCAGAGAGAAAAGTGAAAAGAGGGCTTAGTTTAGATTTGTTACCTAGCCACAAGCAAATTAAGAACCTTGAATGCCATTGATCCTTATCTAACTCTAACCAGGGGCTGATCATTAATTGGGAAGATTCCTCAGCATAGACTTTTAGAATTAAATCAGTTAATTTGAACCTTCACATGTGAACTTGGTTGTTCATGGCTTACATTGGTGGATGTTAATGTATTTTGCCAAATATATTGAATGAAAGAGATGTCAGCGTATACCTGGCCTTGGAAAAAGAAAGAGAACAATTCCAGTACAGATAGTCCTCGTTCAACAACCACTTGTTCAGCAACTGCTTGAAGTTACCACAGCGGTAAACAAGGAGACTTACAATAGGTCCTTGTACTTGCAGCCTTTGCAATATTCCTGCTGTCCCCTGATTGTCACTGTGACCTTCACTGTTGACTTTCAACAAGCAGAGTCAAATGAAAAACTGTCAGGAGGTCGCAAATGACCATATAACTATAGGATGTTGCCAACCACATGGAATGCACGTTACAATGGAAACTAGGACTGCCACAACTGCCATTGCAATTTCATGTGGTCATGTGACTTCTGCTTTACAACCACATTGCTTAGGGAAGTAGCTGCTGATCCCACTGACCGTAGTTAAGCAAGGGTTAGCTATCTGTATGTTGTTTCATTTAAGGCATTTCTGTACACTGAAAATGAAATCGCATATCTCGTACTATCTTAAATAATAGAAATATAATGACCCTAACTCACATTTTTTTATACTGCAATCAGCAGCTGAATCTTAATACTTAGCCTACATTCCCTATGGAGATCCTTTGTCAAATATGGAGGGAATAAGGGATAGGTTTATGAAGAAAAGACACTGAAAAGCATTAGAAGGAAGAATGATGTGCTGAAAACTACTACAATCATTATGAGATGATGTTTCTATGCTGCCTTGTAATAATATATTGATACAGTGTCATAAAGTATAAAAAAATCAGTATTAATGAATAACTGTCATCAAGAAAATATTTATATCTAGCATGTTCTTAGAGATGTTTTAAATTGGTACTTTGATAAGAATGAATCATGCCTCCCTAAATATTATTTAAGATATATGATTCTTGATTGCGTGTACAAACACACCAAACTGGAATTGGAATAAATATTTTTAATCAGATACTTAATTGTTACATTGGGTGCAAATATGCACTGTTGGGAGACATGAAAAAACAGGTTAGGGACAAGCATCATGTAGAAAATCTATATGAAATTGAAAGTGACTTGATGGCACAAAATCATCATTGTGTTTGTAGGTGTGTGTGTTTGTGTATGCACACATATACACACCTGTGACCTGAAGGGACAAACACTACTTATATTTATTTAATAATTATAATGACAATACTGCAGTAGCAATATCTTTCAAAATCTACCCAAATATTATCATGCATGATGTGTCTAAATTTCTGTACTAGCTTACAGCATTTGGTGCTGCAACTCTAAACTTGGCAGTTTCAATGGACATTGTACTCATTTGACCAATATCAGAGAAATTAGTACTATGGTTAAGCCTGGTTTTGATTAGGAAGTGTTCCTACACAGGTTCTCCCTTTCTCTTCCTCTTTTGCCATGTACGTTTTTCTAAAGTAATGAGTACGTCTTTTGAGGTAATATGGTCCAATTTTTGATCTTGTAAAGCAATCCTCCACATGTGTTAGAACTCTGGGTATTTTGTCTCAGAATGTACATTCACAAACATGCAGAGAAGTGTCAAAGGAAACTTCGTGTGTGTGCAGATGTGCACACATACACACAGGAAAAATTAGTTCTCCCAAAGTACGTCAAGTTTGCCAAATCCAAAATAGCAGACACAAGAGTGGTTGGGCAAAGTCCAAGAGTCCTAATGTTGTAGCAGAGTAATCAGCCAGTCCCAGTCCAGAATCACAGCCACAAAATTTCAAGTTGAGAGGCAACAGAGTCTAAATTACTGGATAAAGCCAATGGAGGGGTTTGGGCTCGCTACTCTTCTTACAAACTGGGTGTTGCTTATATTTGGAAAGGCAAAGTTCCTTTTGTGAGAAGAACCTGGCAGAACCCCTTTGCTATCCTCCATGCAGAGCAAAATCTTGCTCTCCGAGAGGCTGGCAACTCAGACTCCTCATCTTCTGAGACTAATGACAGCTGGTTAGTGAATGGTGCATCCTCCTCTGCCTGCAACTGCTCAGGCAGCAGTTTGGCAATGCCGGGACTGGCTGCTCACAGTTAAAACTGAGTCTAAGCTGGCCATGACATCAAGTTCTTTGACTCTGCTTGTTTGGGTTTTGAGAAACTGTAGTTCCAGTACGCTGAGAAGTTGTCTGATTCAGGAGGGCTCTTGAAAATCTATAGTTATGAGTATTGTAGGCTATATAGAAATTTGTGAAGGCTCAAGTTGATATGAAACAAGGCATATATAATGTATTTTTTTCCCAAAAACTTACATTTGATTGCAGAGAAACTACCTTTTTGGTTAGAAAAGGGTACACCTGATAGTTGCTTTTAAATATATAAACATTTCACTTAAGGATGGAATACGTGATCATGTTTGATCTGATTAAAATCTTTCATTTCTCCCTTTCAATTGAAAGATGAGAGAAATGGCCATATATTGATCTCAAGTAGTTCTAGACTATTTTTTTTTTTACTCTGTTTGCTTTTGACTGGTTTGTGTAGTTTGCCCTGGAGATGAGAGACTTCCTTACAAAAGCAGGAGTCACTCATTTGGAGAATGCTGGATTTGCAAGAGGAAAAGGTCCAGTGCAGCAGAAAAGAGAAGCACGGAGGAGAAAGACAAGTAGGCCAGTGGCACTGAGGAAAGCACGTGGCAGAAAGTGTTTCACAACAGCCAGAAGCAACAGAAGGACTTGACAAGAGCCTGTCAGTGTGTGTAATTGTGTGCTTAGGATTTCTGTCAATGCATTCCAGTAACCCCAAAGTGAGAAATTCCCCGTCAGGAAATGCCCAGAGGTAAGAAATGTTCATTGGCCTTTAGATAGGACATGATTATGCTATGTAACTGCTAAATAAATATGAATTACTGAATATTTCAATATATGTTTTATCTACTGAGTACTCTTAAATTTTATTGAGCTCTGTGGATCATGGTGAGATCTATGTTCATTTCTTCTCAAGGGCTTTCTACTTTTGTTTTGAATTTCATTTGGAGAAAGTTATTCAGACATAATACTTGATTTTTCTTTTAGTCTTCATTGAGAATCTCTGGTGTAATTTTTGCTAGGTATATTTTAGGAGAAATGATAGATCTAATCAATGTGCTAGACATCCTGTTCTGTTCTATTCTATTCCATGCTATTCTATTCTTTTTTCTTTTTTTGGAGAGTGGGAGGGCAGAATAAATACCATTTATATTTATATTCATAGATATTTGTAAAAGCACAGTCTATTTAAGACTGAAATTTATTCTAAATTTATTAAAAAGAGAAGAATAGTAAACCACAAGTAATTGGGTTCAATGATGCCTATTCTGCTGAAGTAATTTTTTTTTAATGAAAAGCCATGTAGATGTGAGTGTAGAGAATTTTCTCTGTCTTATTGCTGATTCTAATTTCAACATTTGAGAATTAATTGATACATTGTATCAGAGGTGAAATGCTCCCAGTTCGGACCGGATTGCTCGATCCAGTAGCGATGGAGGCGGGTGGTTCGGAGAACCAGTAGCAAAAATCCCTGCCCCTCCCCCCATGTCCAGCTGAGCCGCACAGTCATCAGAGGCTTTTTTTTTTACTTTTAAAAACATTTTTTCTACAACCTCTTCGGCCGAAAAAAATGCTTTTAAAAGTAAGGCTCTGATGATCGCGCAACTCAGTTGGGATCATAAAAGGCTTTTTTCTTTTAAATGCCTCTGACGATTCAAGCTGAGTTTTTTAAAAAGCCTCTGCCGATCAGGCAACTCAGCTTTGATCGTCAGAGGCATTTAAAAAACAACAACCCTTTTTTTCTTTTAAATGCCTCTGACGATCCCAGCTGAGTTGCCTGATCGACAGAGGCTTTTTAAAAAAGCCTCTGCCGATCAGGCAACTCAGCTGGGATTGTCAGAGCCTTTTGAAAGCATTTTTTTACTGCCTCTTTGCCGAAGAGGTTGTAGAAAAAATGGTTTTAAAAGTTAAAAAAAAATTGGCCCACCCAGTCACATTACTACCACCACCACCAAGCCATGCCCACAGAACTGGTAATATCAAATTTTAGATTTCACCACTGGATTGTATTCAGTGGCTGACTGAATTTTATAGCTCCAAAAGTATTGTACTCATATGAAAACTAAAAATTTAAGAGAACTTAAATGGTGTTCCAGACTAATTTCCATTATCAGGGACATTTTCCCCAATCTGGAATATCTCTCTGTAAAAATTATTAAATGTAGTGACTATTGGGTGTAGTTTTGAAACAATCTATACATTAGTTCCATGCAGAGTATATAAAGTAAGAAATGCAGATCCAATCTTTTAATTATTACTGTGTGATATAATATTTGCATCTATCAGTTAAAAATAATTTAAGACAGAAATTTACAATTAATGTAATTTTCTAAGAACAATCATTTCTGAGTTAGCTGTTTTCTGATGGTTGAGCTGTTTGAATTGAGGGGTGGTTTTGTGAACTTCATGGTGACTTGTTATTTACTTTGTGCTGATCTTAATGTGAAGCACGTCTTTGTACATAGAAACCATTGTCTTTATTGACAGAAGTCAAAGAGGTACATCCTCATGTGACTGACTGGTTCCTAGGATCTGGGAGGTTGCTATCTTGCTCTCCTCACTAAAATAATAATGCCTCAAATAGCTTAGTAACTCTCTCAAAGCACTTTTTAAAATAGGAGCTGAACAATAAGCATATAATGAATTAATTTCTTGGAGTTTCTACACTATATAATAAATGTCAGGGTTCCAAGTAACACCCCCAACGAAAGAAATCTCCGAGGCTTGGATTTCCTCAAAGTTAATGTTTTATTAGAGATGTCATATTGGCACATCTGGGGAAACCCGAATTTGAAAGCTTCCAGAGTTTTCCTCACCCAAAGGAAAGCTCAAGTCCCTGCCCAATACCCACAAGTCCATCATATGGTCCAATCAGAGCACCGTCTCAACTGGAAATACCTTTCAGTTCCAACCTCCCAGGTGGAGGGCAAGATGTCCTTGAACCTCTGAGAAAGGAATGTTGTTATGACTATCTGTCCCCCATGCTCTACACATTCCCGCCTCCCAATTTCCCACAGTAGTAAATGTGGCAGGTCTGAAGGCCCAATACGTAAGATGGCTTCCAGGCCTGACAGGCCGTCCCCTTCATCAGAAAAGCATGCCCTGAAACGAGAGTAGCAGAGTGGTTAATGATACAGTATACTAACCACCTCTCCCTCCCCGAGAGGGACCCTTTGGCTCATCAGGGAATTTATCATGGAATTGTTTTACTAGCCTATCTGAGTTAGAAGCAACTACTGAGTAAATTGGTGTGTGTATTATGTGTTGTGTTGTATATTATTCTCTTCATCTTTTCTTGCCAGTAGCCCTAAGTCAAAACAGGAGGTGATGGTCCGTCCCCCTACAGTGATGTCCCCATCCGGCAACCCGCAACTGGACTCTAAATTCTCCAATCAGGGTAAACAGGGGGGGTTCAACAGGCCAATCCCAGCCTTCTCCATGCGATCCCAAGAGTGGGGCCCATACACCAAAAGTGCTTCCAGGACAAGGAGGAAGCATGGGGTTGAAGAATGGGGCTGGCAATGGGTCAAAAGGGAAAGGAAAGAGAGAAAGGAGCATTTCAGCCGACTCGTTTGAACAGAGAGATGCTGGAACTCCCAGTGATGAATCAGAAATCAAAGGTATGTTAATATGCAAAAGTGCAGAATTATGGATAACTTTTGATTTTGATTGAGAGCTTCTATTATTGATCCTCTTCCTTTGCTTTAACAATGTACTAGCCCTGAGCTGTAAAAGCAGAGCAAATTAATAGGAATATGTATTAGTTATAAGGTGAATTGTTTCATAGATAGGATCCTAAAAGTGTACACCCCCCCCCCAAGACAAGACAAATGTTTAAGTTTCTTAACAGACTTTTTCTTTTTCAATATACTTAAATGGAAGGCATAGTCCCTTGGCCAGTAACATGAGAGTCTCAATGGGTTCCTACCAGAGGACTCTTGTCTCAGAAAAGAAAAGGTCTATCTTTCTGTATATGTGAGGGAGAAATGTTTCTTCCATAGGTTTAAAGAGAAAACCTTCATTTTACAAACATTTACTAAGGAGCAGTTACTGAATTCAGAACTAATATGTTTTACAAGAAATTCATTTTATAGGGTCTGTTTATATTTATCTCAGGAATGCTGCTGCTGAATTTGTAGTAGTTCGGTTTGTGTGTGAATCCTGTGGCCTTTTCTGTGGAATTATTTTTAACCCAGTATAACCTGTTTGCTAGTGCTCTCCTCAAATACAGTCTGTATTCACACAATTAGCCCAATTAAGAGTGCTGATGCTGATCTTTAAAACCCTAAAGGGCAGAAGGCCAGAATGTTTAAAGGCTTGTCCTCTTTCATTCTAGACTGCTGTTTCCTTACGTTCTAATGGAAAGATTTTCTTTCCACATGTTTTGTTATGATTGGGTAAATTATATTCTCAGAATTCCCAGTTCCAGAAAGCTTAACTGGTAGGATTTTATAAATGAAGGATTGTTCTTTAGGAAACAAATGCACAAAGTACATTGAGTGGCTTCAGATGCTACTTCTCTGCTTGCGGTAGGCATGCCTAGTAACTAAACAGTATGAGTTCGGTTGATGGGACTAATTATACTGCCCATTAACAATTAGCCGTGAGCTGGGCATGCTTTTTCTGTTGGCTCTTTCATTGATATTCTGTGGCTTCCAGCTCCCCATGCTCAACTCTATACAACTGTGTGAGCTAGGGACATTTCTATAATAGCAGCATAAAATCAGTATAAATCCTATAATAGCAGTATAAATAGGCTTGGCCAGTATCCAATACTTTCTAGTATTGAATATCTTTCTAGTACGTATTCATGTGTGCAGGGGTATTTCTCTAATTATATCAAATATATATGTTTGTTAGATTGAAATCATTTTTCTTCTTGGAAGTCACATATCCCATTTTTCCTTCTATAGTATTAGAATAGATTGGGATAATTGATAATGTAACAACCATTAATAGTGATATTTTCCTTGAGTGCTGTCTAGTTTAATTTTTGTATCTCTGATGAGAATTCGTTTTTTAATTTATTTAAGATTGTTCTGCACCCAGAATTATTTGCTGGGATGAATGCCCATACAAATTAAATAAATAATGATTAGCCCAAAGTCAACAACCTACTATAGTAGACTTGAGCCTGGTTCTCTCAAGTCCTACACAGGACATCCTACAGTGCACATTGGGAAGTTGTTTCTAGTTTGATGCCTCCAGATTGCATTGCTTTGAACCCCTTTGCCTGTTTGAGGCTTGGTAACTATAGTGTACATTAAATCTCCAAGACAAGATATGCATAACTATGTACAGAATCAAAGAGACAAGGCTGAATTATTTTTATGAATATATGGTAAATTTGTAAGTTATTCTTGGAATGCTTATGTTTCACCTTAAATTAATATTTTAGAAGTTTTTATCTTCTATTAGGTATCTAATTAATTTTTTTGTTATTGTGTAATGGTTATGAGAATGATCTTGATGGACAGGGGAAGAGATACTGCCTAGGAAATGATCAAACAAGATAGGGGAGACCCTGGAGTTGCTTAATACTCAAAAACAATCTTAAGACCCACCTTAATGGATCAGGTGGTTAAAAGTGAGAGCAGGAGATTTCTAATTTCAGACTTGCAAGATTCTGTTATTGTAGCCTTAGAATAAAATTGAATTACCTCATCTGGTCATGTTCCCTGTCTGGTTTACTTGGGAGGGCTGATACGTTGTTTATAAATCTTATCTTTGGTTTATTTGACCATTTTAAATTTTGTAGCCATTTTAAATGTTGAAAGCTGTTCTTTAATGTATGCATTAGAATGTCTGAGTTGAATTTTTAATATTAATTGATCACAGGTCCTCATCAACTTACAACCAAAATAGGTGCAAAATTTCAATTGCTAATCAAAGCAGTTAAGTGAGGTTTGCCCCATTTTATGCCCTTTTTTTTGCCATAGTTGTTAAATAAATCACTGCAGTTGTTAAGTGAATCATGTGGTGGTTAAATGAATCTGGTTTCCCCCATTGACTTTGTTTGTTGGAAGCCAGCCTGGAATGTTGCAAATGGTACTCATAAGATCCAAGGACAGTGCAACTTTCATATATACATGCCAGTTGCCAAGCACCTAAATTTTGATTATGTGAGAATGGACTGCTGCAATGGTCATTAAGTGTTGAAACTGGTCATAAGCCACTTTTTTCAGTGCCATTGTAGCGGTCACTAAATTAATGGTTGTAAGTCAATGACTGCCTATGATTTGCTTAAATGCCAGCTATTCACAAGCATATTAAGACTATGGAACCATCTTTCCCCAGTGGGGTTGGCCTGCCCCACACATGCTGGCAAAAGGGCCTTCATTAGCCAAGGAATGTCAGCTGTGGAATTCAGGAGAATAGCTTTCTCTACCACAGCTCCTGCCCTTTGGAACATCTTGCTACAGGAGATAAGATCCACCTCCTCTTTTAGCCTTTAGGAAAGCCCTGGCTATACCGACTGGCATGGAATCCTTAAGGAGAAACTACTGGCTGGAGGTGGTTGGTACACTAACAGAGAAAGTTAACTCAACTCTCTCCTCCAAACCTTTGTTTTTGTTTATTTTAATTTTTATGTAATTTTTGTAATTTTTTATAATTTATAAATTTATTTATAACTGTTATTATAAGTTGTTTCATCCTGATGTAAGCAGCTCAGACTTGCCTGAATTGAGAGATGGATGACAACTAAATTTGATAAAAATAAACAAACACAAACGTTGACACAAATGCCCCACAGCTTTAGGAACCAATAGTAGCAGTAAAGGAAATTAGAACTTTGCATTTTGAATATGTATTTTCCCCATTGACCTATTTGCTTTATTTTCTTTACTTTGCCACTTTATATGCCTGAGGCAAGAACCATGTTGTATACTTAATTTTTTGCAGTATTTTATAATCCCCCCTCCCCCCCCCACTTTAATATTTAATAATAGTTGAATGTTAGGACAGTGTCGATTCCTTACACAATATCAGTATTCAGTTTTTCAGTGAGCCAGGAATTTCTTTTGTACTTAGACTTTAAAAAATCCTGTTGATTATAGTAATATTCATTATATATATTATTTGGTGCAGACTACAAAGAGCAGCTGCTATCTTTGTTGAACCATGAACCTCATTTGTGTATTACCTATCCCAAAAGTTTTGTGAAATAGTTATTTCTTCCAAAGCTTTCAGCTAGATACCATATTGCTTGGGGTGTTCCCTAGCTTCAAGGCTTCTACTAAGTAACATCAATAAATTATTTTGTAGAAGCAGGACAGCTCCCTCCCCCCAAATTCTGTTTTACTTAAATTAAAAGTGGGCTATTGAAGAAATTAAAACCTACAGTCTACTCTTCAAAATAGAACTCTCTTCACTTTTTTCTTCCTAGATCTTGGTTCTGCTGAACATACAAAATCACAAGATACGTCACATACAACACACTCCATGGTTCCTTCAAATAGTTCAGTTCCCCGGTCTTCCACACCTTCCCATGGTCAGACTACAACTTCAGAACCAGGAAGCATACAGAAGACTCCATCCAAAGTGGTCTATGTTTTTTCAACAGACATGGCTAACAAGTAAGTGGATCCATTTTTAAATAGTAATAAATAAATTAAAATTATAACGATAAAATATTAAAGTAAAAATGGAATAAAAAGAAAAATAGAATTGCAGAAAAGAAAAAGAAAGATAATGAAAAGGAAGAAAAAAATAATATGGGAAAGACAAAAAAAATAAATTATAGTTTCCCCTTCATCACAACAAATGTAAACAATTTTAATGGCTTATTTTAAAATACAACACATGATCTCTGTTTCCCATATCCTATCTCTTATCTATGAACAAATCCTTAATATCTCATCCTCAAAACCTGATCAGCAAAAGTCCATTCAGTATAACTCAAGATAACATACCTATTTTAACCTTGATCAAGTAAATCAATTTTATATTCCTTTCGTTTACTTTCAGCAATCTGGATTTCTTTTCATTTTTTGGTCCCTTTTCACAGAATTCTTCATAGTTATGACAAGCCTCCTTTGTAAATTCTATACAGGAAAATTATCAAGGTCTTTGTCAGGCATAACCCCAAATATGACAATGAAATCCAATTGAATCCTATTCTTTATTTGCTTATACCTAACAAACATAATATTGCCTAAGTAAAGATATAACCTTCTAACATTATAGCTATATCCTGAGAGATTCTGGAGTGTGAATATCCTGAACTTCTTCCTCCCTCCTCCATCCAGTTTAGGACTGCACAGTCTCATAATTTGGGCTTCTGTCTGGAATGTACTGCCTCTTCCCTGGGAAACTGGTGCTACTGAGACACCTCATCCCAGTGCACATTCCATCACAGGTTTCTTTACATAGGATAATCTTCATATTTTGATTATTGCCGTCCTGTAGAATAATGCCACATTTGTCTTTTTGCAGGTTGTTCTTAATGAGAAGTGACAGCCAGTCATAGCTTACTGTTATAAATATATCTGGTGTAATTATTATCTATAAAACTATCACATCATATGTGTGGTACATATTTTTCTCTGAGTTGAAATAGGTTTATTGTAAGAAAGCTAAAAATACTGTTCTTATGATAGTGAAATATTTGATATCCCCCTCTATATCCCAGTGCAGGATTTAAACTGATAACTCTACAACGGAAGGGCAGTATTAGTTTAGATTATCATTTATTGTAGAACTTGACTGATTGAGGAATGTGTGGATGGATGAAAGCACAAATGGAAAAGTGAAAAAGGCCTAAAGAATGGAGATTACTGAAGAAAATTGAATTAAATTAGTGAAAAGAAGACTTGATTAAGATCTATACTGTAAATGACTCAAGACAATGGGAGGAAGGCCAGCACATCCAAAATTGTGTTGTGTCAGTTGAATGTCCTACCTTCATGGATTGAAAAGTCAAGAGTTGAGGCTTCAGTTATTATGATTGTTGTCCTCAAGGTGAAGCAGTCAATCTTTGCATCTGCAGATGCCAGCATTCAGAGATTGATTAGCAGTCAGCATGAGAAGCAGCAGATACAGTGGCAGGAATATAACAGTTCTCTTACCACTATTCAGCAGGAAGGCTAGAGGTGTAGCAAAAGGAACCACATGAAGAACTGCAAAGGCAAAGCAGCATGGAAGGATCAGGAAGTATGGACAGGCGTGTACCAGACACACAGGGAAACAATAGGAATTACTAGGCAAGGACTGGGTCAGCCTGGTTTTGTTCAAGTACTGCAGCTCAGAACATTGGACTGCTGGGAAGATTGGAGGAAAGGAGGGGAAGAGTGATAACTCCCTGAGTGGAAGTAGAAAACAAAGATTTATCATTGGATTGAGATAATGTGGGGGCTAACTTCAATCTGCGTGAGAGCTGGATGGAAGAGATTGGTCAGGGGAAATTATGTTAGGTAGAGATAGATAAATTTAAAGGTTAGGTCAATTGTCAAAAGAGGGAGATTCTCTGGAGAGATATTTGTAGTGGCATGTAACTCTTGGGAAAACTTGAAATGGGAGGGACTGCAGAAATTAATAGAGAACCTGGTAAGGAGGAGAGGATTATGGTTGTAATGAGAAGAGAGGAGTTTGATAGGATATGGGTGAAATGAGTTTTACAGGACATTGGAAAATTATGGCCACTATCTTCTACTGTGATTTCTTCCCCAAATGTTAAGTCAAGGTGGTTAGAACTTGCGATCAAGTCAAATGTCAGATCCACTTTCAATAAATCTATCACTATCCATGATCTAATTGTGAACAAGAGGGCAGATATTATATATTTCTGATAACTGATTGGTAAGGATGTGTTCTGTGTCTGAGATATGTTCACTTGAGTTTCTGGAGCTATATTAGCCTTCATACTATATTTAGGCAAGGTAGGAGAAGTGGCAGTCATTTTCTGTGAAATCTTGTGAGAAGCACTATTTTGTATGTGACTGGAGACCTTGTTTGTGTAGTAAGGGTTGTGGGAGAAGCTAGGAATGCTACTGCTCTACTGTTGAATTCCAGTTCAAGTTGCTAGTACTTAACAGTGAGTTGGTTGTTGATTCCCTTGTCCTTCTGATTCTGATTGACTTCCATTCACTGTCAATGAAGCTAGACTCTAAAATTCATGGCCATAACTGGTCTAGGTTATCATGGCCCTAATCAAAGTGATACACTAGATTTGGTTTTCAACTCAGAACAGATGGTATGTGTTGGTGGACAACATTTCCTTTAGCAGCTTGTCATAGATTATTCCAATAACTTGTATTGGGTTAATCAGGCCCAACATTTTCTGCAGAGAGAATGGTCCAATTAAAATGGTCTCTATAAGTTCCTAATGGACTTGACAGGCTTATAAAGGCATTTGGAAATTTATGAATGATTGAATGGGAAGTTCTGTTGGGCATATAGTCAAGCTTTGGGATACCGAAACAATGCAAATGCTTGATATGATTGCTCCTGAGTGACTTTTATTCGTTGGTCCTAAGGGATTACTTTGTACTTTTAAGGAATTCCCTGAGATGAAATGGCAGAAAAGATACCAAGAATGACAATGTAGGGGGGGAAAGTGAACATAATTGAATGTGGATACAAATTTAGCTCTGAGCCATCATTGCAGTACTAAAGGGATTAAGTGTTGTTACTTCTCTACCATTCTGCATTTTTTAAATGACCTGAATCCTGTTGAGTAAGGTTGGGTCAGAATCAGGAATGAGCTACTGTGAATGCATTTGTGGATAGAGTTACTCATTTTTGCACAGTGTTGGGTTGGGAACCAGTCTAAGGAGTTGGCCGAGGTGATGTCCTTGAAATTGCGAATCTCCAATTGACTAGAATCCTTGGTAAAGTTACTTCTGCTACTTGTGAATTTGATCCCATCTTGGCCTGTGTAGCTACTGTGTAGAATGAAGGTCTGAGTGTCAGTAAATGCCTTTTTAAGAAATGTCTTGAAAGATGTGCTGGTATGACTCCTGCTTAAGAGGACTTCCCTGAACCCACCCATGTTAAATGACTATTGCCTAGTCATCATCCTTTCCTTTTTACAGAAGTTTGTGACAAAGGATTCTGGAGCAAGCAGATTATCTACCCCTGTTTAGTTCTAGTCATAGAAGTTATTGTTTGATCTCTATGGAAAGATTTGGAAGCAGAAAACATATCTCTTCTCCTGATGCTTCTTTCATCATCCTTCAATACCACTGACCATGTATTGTTCTAAGTTGCCCAGTAAGAGATGTGATAGAAGTCTTGACCTGACTGGGAAACTGTCAAGATTTATATGTATGAGCGAAAACGTAAGATATGGCAATGGATTTGTAGAATGATTTGATTATAAGTATATATTGCTTTGTTTGACATTATTCAATTGGAGCAGCATAGTAGTTATAAATAAAGCAAAACATGTTTTTGATATATTTATCAATTGTCCTTTTGGGCTATAAGAATTCAGTTACAGAAGGAAACTTGAATTTTTATGGCAGAGAAAAACATTCTAAATGATGTCTTAGATGCATCTGTTTTGTTTTCCTCAGGGCTGCAGAAGCTGTATTGAAGGGACAAGTAGAAACCATTGTCTCTTTTCACATTCAGAACATCTCTAACAAGGCAGAACGAAACAGTGTATCCTTGGTAAGTAACTTGATAAATGAAGAAGAGAATGGAGAACAGAAAGCTGGGCAGAAAGTTGTTATTTGTGCTACCGTGCATTTTTTCCAGCTACGAAAAGTGCTGTGCAGTTTTGTCCTCATTTGCCAAAAGAGTCAGACTTGCTTTCTATAGCTTGACTTGGGTGGGTTACTTTTTGTTTTGGTTCAGGTAGAGAGAAGGTTCTGGCAGACGGGAGGCATAAAAATGTTGTAGCTCTAAAATAAATTCCTCACCTTCAGAAGTTGAACAAGATCAGATGATAAAATCTTATGTTTGTGAAAGCCATCTTTGATCAGTTTCTAATTAACAAGAGCCATGTGAAATTGTTTTCTTCAGAACACTCAGCTTCCGCCTCTCCGAAATGACACAAAGCCTCAAGTTCCATCACAGCTGCCTACTTCTCAAGAACAAACTCCTCCCCAGAATGCAAAAATGCAGCAGACTCCTCCCATTCCAGTTCCAGTTCCAGCACCAGCACCTAAATCTACTAGTTCTTCTTGCCCTATTGACCAAGACAATCCTGGCCTAGAAAGTAATGTGATGCCTGCAGGAAGTCCTGCTAACTCCACTCCTCTACAAGCTGAAGGATTTGGGCAAACTTCAACTCCCAATAATCGAGCAGTTAGTCCAGTTTCCCAAGGTAGTAATAGTTCCAGTGCAGATCCTAAAGGTCCTAACCAGCAAGTATCTGGAGGAGATCCACCAAACATGGGTGAAAATCCAGATGGGCTATCCCAGGAACAACTGGAGCACAGAGAACGTTCGTTACAAACTTTGAGAGATATTCAGCGAATGCTTTTCCCAGATGAAAAAGAATTTGCTGGAGGCCAAACTGGGGGGTCCCAGCCAAATTCTGCAGTTCTGGATGGTCCCCAAAAGAAATCTGAAGGACCAATACAGGCAATGATGGCCCAATCTCAAAGTTTAGGTAAAGGGCCAGGACCCCGGACAGAAGGAGGGGCTGCATTTGGTTCCCAAGGGCACAGAGACATGCCATTTTCCCCAGATGAAGTTGGACCACCATCCATTAATTCTCAATCTGGTCCTATTGGACCAGACCATCTGGATCACATGACCCCAGAACAAGTAGCCTGGCTGAAATTGCAGCAGGAGTTCTACGAAGAGAAACGGAGAAAGCAAGAGCAAGTTGTACAGCAGTGTTCGTTACAGGACATGATAGTTCACCAGCATGGACCACGAGGATTAGTTAGAGGCCCCCCACCTCCATATCAGATGACCCCAGGTGATGGCTGGGGGCCTGGAGGCCCTGAACACTTCCCTGAAAGCATAACAATGCCTCACTCACTACCTCCAAGAGGCATGGCCCCCCATCCCAATGTACCTAGCAGCCAGATGCGACTGCCTGGATTTTCTGGAATGATAAACCCTGACATAGAAGGTCCCAATGTCCCAAACACCACAGGTAGACCTGGGCTTTCAGGTGTTCCTTGGCCAGATGATGTGCCAAAAATTTCAGATGGCCGCAATTTTCCTCCTGGGCCGGGTGTGTTCAGTGGTCCTGGACGAGGAGAGAGGTTTCCAAATCCTCAAGGCTTGCCTGAAGATATATTCCAGCAGCAGTTAGCAGAAAAACAACTAGGACTTGCTTCTGGCATAAGCATAGAAGGAATTAGGCCTGGCATGGAGTTGAACCGGATGATTCCCCCTCAAAGACACATGGAGCCTGGCAATAACCCCATCTTTCCACGTATGCCAGTTGAGGGACCCATGAGCCCTTCTCGGGGAGAATTTCCAAAAGGAATACCACCTCAGATGGCAGCTAACAGAGAGTTGGAATTTGGGATAGGCCCCAGCAGCATGAAAGGGGATGTGAATCTGAATGTCAACATCACTTCCAATCCACCAATGTTACCTCAGAAAATGAGGGAAGCTGGAGTGGGTCCAGAAGAAATTATGAAGATGCGCCCAAGTATCTCAGAAATGCTCCCCGCTCAGCAAAAAATGGTTCCCTTGCCATTTGGTGATCATCCTCAACAGGACTATGGAATTGGCCCAAGACCTTTTCATCCTATGTCTCAGGGCCCAGGTGTTGGTCTCCGGAATCATAGAGAGCAAATAGGGCCTGACCAAAGGACTAACAATCGTCTTAGCCACATGCCACCACTACCTCTGAACCCCTCCAGTAACCCAAACAGCCTCAACACGACTCCTCCGGTTCAACGCAATCTTGGGCGCAAACCCCTAGATGTCTCTGTTGGTGCCAGCCAAGTTCATTCTCCAGGCATAAATCCACTTAAATCCCCCACAATGCGCCAGGTTCAATCTCCCATGCTGGGTTCTCCTTCTGGAAACCTCAAGTCTCCCCAGACTCCCTCACAGCTGGCAGGGATCCTTGCTGGTCCAACTACAGCAGCCGCAGCTGCTTCAATCAAATCTCCTCCAGTTATGGGTTCTGCTGCCGCTTCACCTGTCCATCTCAAGTCTCCATCCCTCCCTGCACCTTCTCCTGGATGGACTTCATCTCCAAAGCCCCCATTGCAGAGCCCTGGAATCCCCCCAAACCACAAAGCATCTCTTGCTATGTCTTCACCAGCCATGATGGGAAATGTTGAATCAGGTCAGACTTATTTTTTCTTATGTCTTTTTGATCAGTAGTGTCCCTTGTTTGTTTCTGAATTGTTTTGCTCTGATGCTATTAACAATTGCTCAGCAGTTGAGCAGGTCATTTTTTTTTTCTCTTGAGAATTTAGTTGTGAGCATACAGTCTCTTTGAGTTCTATGGTTTTATGTATCAGGACATAGTAAAAATCATCTGGTCTTTAGCAGTTCTTAACAGTAGGTAAATAGATGAACAACATGTGACATATTACACCATGTCATTTATTTTACAAAAAGAAATCCAAAATGGAGAAGCCGTGTGTGAAAAACTAAGTACACTTCATGAGAGAATAGCTTGAGGAACCATCTTTAGCAACAATAACCTGAAGTAATCATTTTTTGTATGACTTATCAGTCTTTCACATCATTATGGAGGAATTTTGGCCCACTCTTCTTCAGTTTCTTTTCAGCTCATTGAGATTTATGGGTGTTTATTTTATGCACAGCTCTCTTAAGGTCCCACCACATCATTTCAATTGGGTTGAGGTCTGGACTTTGACTGGGCAATTGCAACACCTTGATTCTTTTTCAGCCATTCTATTGTAGATTTGCTGGTGTGCTTTGGATCATTGTCCTGTTGCATGACCCAGTGTCAGCCAGGCTTTAGCTGTTAGACAGGTGTCCTCACATTTTACTCTAGAATATCTTTGGTATACAGTAGAGTTCATGGTCGACTCAATGACTGCAAGGTGCCCAGGTCCTGTGGCTGCAAAACAAGCCCAAATCATCATCTCTCCACCACTGTGCTTGATGGCTGGTGTTTGTGCTGATATGCTATTTTTAGTTTTCACCAAACATGGCATTGTGCACTATGGCCAGACACCTCCACTTTGGTATTGTCTGTCCAAAGAACAGGGTTCCAGAAGTCTTATGAGTTGTTTAACTTTGAAAACCTAAGCCATGCTACCATGTTCTTTTTAGAGAGAAGAGGCTTTCTCCTGGAAACCCATGCTTGTTCAGTCTTTTTGTAATTATATTATCATGAACTTCAACATTTAACATGCTAACTGATGCCTGTAAGTCTGAGATGCAACTCTTGAATTTTTTGCAATTTCTCTGAGCATTGCATGGTCTAATCTTGGGATGAATTTGCTGGGACATCCATTCCTGGGAAGATGGAAAACTGTCTTGAATGTTTTCCATTTATGAATAATCTTCCTCATTGTAGAATGATGGACTTTAAATTGTTTGGAAATGGCCTTAACACCATTCACAGATTGATGGGCAGCAACAGTGGCTTCTCTAATATTAGCCCCTTCTTACCTATGGAAGCTGTAAAGCAGGGATATCAAGCTCAATTTCATTGAGGGCCGCATCAGGGTTGTGTTTGACCTCCGGGGGCTGGGATGGATGTGGCCAGGATGGGCATGGCCAGCTCAACATCATTCATGTCGGGGGTGCCGGTGGTGGCCCGAGCGCTCTGCCAGCAATAATGGGCTCCCGAGCTCCGTTTTCGCCTGCCACGGCCTCCTGCAACCCTCTGCCAGCAAAAACAGGAGCTCCGGAGGACCGCACGCAGCCCTCCCGAGCTCCGTTTTCACTGGCAGAAGCACAGCGGGCCAGTCCTTCGCTGTTTCCAGGGTGACCCTACAGGGCAGATCTAAGTACCCCGCGGACCAGATCCGGTTCCCAGGCCTTGAGTTTGACACCCCTCCTGTAAAGGGTATACTTAGTTTTTTTACACATGGCTTCTCCATTTTCAATTTCTTTTTGTAAAATAAATTACAAGGTGTAATATGTCATGTGCTGTTCATCTGAGGCTGTATTTACCTATTTTTAATCAGGTGATTTTTATTATGTCCTGATAGATAAAACCATAGAACTCATAGGGTATACTTTCTTTTTCACATGACTGTATCTTCCCTCTCTAAATTTCAAACTATAGCAAAGAGCTAGGGGTCAGTAATCTAGTAACAGAATTGGTGGAAACTGTGAATTGATAATTGAGCAAGCTGTTTAAATGTATGTTCCTTGTTTAGCAGCCCAATATACCTATCCAGTTTGACTGATTAAATTATTAAGCAGAAATATTGAGAACATGGCCATTAGTTAGAGAACCATTTTGAAATAGGATTTCTTTTATATCCATACTGTAATAATGCTGAAATAGTTTGTTATTGCTGCCTTCTGGGAACTTTCTTGGTCAAATCTATACCCTGATGATTTCTAGTGATCAGCCCTGCTTAGTATTTTGATATCAGTCAGGGTTGGTTAGGTTCTGCCACCAACCTGAGTGTGGCATAAAATTGTCACTTAAGGACATTTTTGAAAAAGAGCCAGAAGTTAGGATAGTAACCGCCATTTGGTAAATTCTCTATTTTAGTGGATTTTAGATATTTCGCATACAAATGCTCTCTATCACTATACACTCATATGGAAGTTAGTTTAGTATTGGACTTGAGTGTCTGTTATGAGTTGTCAGAGAAATGTCAGTTGAAATTTTCATGGATTTTACCATTCCACAAAATGGAATTCCTTGGTTTTGATTCACATGACCTTGTTTTCCCTGCAGAATTGCAAGTGCCATTTAATCTTCAAGATTTATAGTTTAAAGGCAATGGACTATTCTCACCCTGTAAGATTGTAATAAAGCAAGTCTCCAGTGTGCAATGTTTGCATGCAGTTGTTTGATAGATCCAGCCTTGGGAGCAATTCAGTCTATGAAATCATGTTATTCCGGGAATTAGGAAGGCAACCAAGTCAACTATTTGGGTACACTGTCCTCTAGTGTTTCAGAGAAATCATTGCAATGGAGCAGCAATCTGTTTTTGTTAATAGTAGGGATCTCCTGTACTTCTGAGGCAAACCTAATTTTTACCTTAACAGTGGTCAAACTTTTGAAAGTTCAGAATAGAACAGAACAGAACAGAATAAGGTTTATGAAGTTTATAAAAGTGTTGCTAGTTTCCTATCACTCTTCAACATGAAAAGGGTGAGACCTCAGCTGTACATAAATCTTTCAAGCTCCTATATGCTTTGCCCTTTAAGTAACCCAGACAAAGGAATATAGTTTTATAGAATTATGGAATGTAAGGGCAGGAGGAACTATTGGAGACATCTAGTTCAGGGGTGTCAAACTCACGTCGTCATGGCAGACGTATTGGGACTTTTTTCCCCTTTGCTAAACAGGATGTGGGCTTGGCCAGTGCGTGATGCATCCGGCCCGTGGACCGCATGTTTGACAGCCATGATCTAGTTCAATCCCCTGCCCAGTGTAGGAATGAATTCCTACATGTATTACACACAAAAATGTATAATAGAGTTGACATTCCTAGGGATATTTGTAACATGGGAAATTATTTAGCATTGATCAAAAATGTGAAAATGCAGTCAATGTTTCTAAATGCAAGATCATGCACTTAGAGAAAAAGAATACCTGCAAATTTGGTGACTTTCTAGCTTCCCGTCTTAAACAACTATACCACCACTGATGCAGACTCTCTGGGAAATATTGTTCGTTTAGATGTATATCCAGCTAATGTAGTATGGCACAGCCTGCATTTTTGTATCTTCTCTGCTAGAATTTCCTGGGAGATCATGTCAAACGTTTAAGTCAGAGTACTATGCCCACTGCACTACCACAATCTCTTAAACTGGTCACCCTATGAAAAAAGGAGATCATGTTGATTTAGCATGATTTGTTCATGATAAACCCACATTGGCTTCTGTTAAGCAGTCATTCTATTCCCAATGATCCCAAAGTTAAGCTACGTTAGAGTTTTGCCTAGTATCAGAGTTAAGCCAGGTCATCTATAGTTATCAGGGAGGTGCTTCTCTTTTTCCCTTTTGAAGATTTGACCTTTTCTAGTCATCTGGGACTATATATTTCAGGCAGGGGAACTTTGGAATGACATCAGCAAGCTTTTTCAAGACTCATAGATGTGATTGACCTGGTTCTACAGACTTAACTGATTTTTAGTAATCAGGTGTTCTCTACTCATGAGTGCCACATTGTCTTTTCTGTTTCATTCCATCAGGAGTCATGCCTTTTTCTTATCACCAGTTACTATTGACCTTATTCAAGCAGTTTCTTTTCTTTCTTTTACTACTGACATAGCAAAAAAGCTGCTTTGATGTCTTTAGCTTGCCTATTTCCCCTTTATGCTTAAGCTTTTATAACTTTTCTGCAGATAGCTATGTGATGATACACCTCTTTGAAGAAGTAAAATACTCAGATTTCATTTGAATGTGAATTAGAAATGGTTTCTGAAATTCAAAAGTCACCCTCTGAAATAAGATTTTCTTCCTCACTTTCTCATTATCAATCTGAGACAGTAATATTTCCAAGCAACACATAGTCCTTGTCTGAATACCATAGTCTGAATACCAACCAAATTTAATTCTAGAATTATTAACATAAAGCCCTATACTGTATGCAGGATGTGGCTTAAATTCTAAAAAAAAATTGCCTAGAATTTTTGTTATGGTCACTAATTGCACACTATTATATTAGAATATTAGAGAAAAATTACAAACTAGTTAGCCTTTTGCATTAAAAACAGTTTATAACAGTGTCTGAACTTCTAAAAGCTTCTTGCTTGTTCAGCTTTACTTCGCATATCCTCCAAAAAGGAACTATAAATGCTTGCATTGGAATTCCCATTAGTAAGGTAACTAATATTCAAAATAAATGTTTAATTAAAGTAGGGAAGATTGTGAAAGTGGCATTTTGCAAGCATTAATTCTCTTCCAAAGCCACCTGCAAGTACTGTACTCTTGCCCAGGCAATTCCTAATGGTACAAAATAGCTATGGTACTATGACAGTGGTGAAATTTATAAATTTTCCCTACCGGTTCTGTGGGTGTGGCTTGGTGGTCATGTGACCGGGTGGGTGTGGCTTGGTGGTCATGTGACCGGGTGGGCGTGGCTGCACAACTGACTCACACACAATGTAAAAGCAGCTGGACTTCATACGAAATGGCCCCTGCAACAAGCAGGAACCTCACAGAGTCACAGAGAGCTCAAAAACCAACTATCACACTTTACACAAAAATAACACAAAAGCTACACAACTGACTCACACACAATGCAAAAGCAGCTGGACTTCACACAAAATGGCCCCTGCAACAAGCAGGAACCTCACAGACAATCAGGCACAGCTGATTGTCACACAGCTGATTAGTAGTAAAAAAAAATGCTAAAAAAAGATTTTAAAAAATTGTTCCGACATTGCCTGGCACAGTTGATTGCCACACAGCTGATCATCAGAACTTGGTTCAGGCAAATAGGTAGTAAAAAAATGCTTTAAAAAAGTTTAAAAAAAAGGTTCCAACAATTAGGAGGCACAGCTGATTGTCACACAGCTGATCGTCAGAACTTTTGTTTTTTTACTTTTTTAAGCATTTTTTTTACTACCGGTTCAGGCGAATGGTAGCTTTTTTTACTACTGGTTCGGGCGAACCGGCCCCAACCGGTAGCATTTCACCCCTGTACTACGATACTACCACTATATTCATTAACGTCACCTTGTTGTGAGATGGGCAGCAAACAGATTTAATAAACAAATGCTTACTTTCAAACTGCTGCATAATTCTATGTAGTACATCTATCATATATAATATAACTCTTAGCATTTGTGGTATGTTTCTTGTAATAAAAATATCATCAAAAGCTGCAGTTGTTTCACTTAAGATGAAGCCCATCTTCCTTCCTTTCATTTAGCCGCTCCTATGACTCAGTATGACTGTGTTGAAGACAAACCTAACTATCAAAGAAAACAAATTGAGCAACAAGCACAGCATTTGTCTCTTCAGGGTTATGTCCTGGTTTTACTTGAACATTGATGGACTAATAGTGGGAAGATCCTATTTTTACAAATTAGCTAAAGGTCAATTAAATTACAGCACCTTTCTTTATCCCATCAAAAGAATTCTAGAACACTTTGAAGCTTAATTAGCCTTGAATAGTTAGATCTTCTTGTCTCCTGTAATCATTTATTCTGAAACACATGTGGCCAAAGGATGGTCTTCGGAGAGAATGTCTGTTGTGTTCAATTGTTTTTTAGTAGACAAATTGTAGAACAGTTTCCTGATAATAGGATTTTTAGGCTCATCATAGCTCAGCGGGAGATCATGTGCTTTGCATACAGCAGATTCTAAATTCATCCCTCACATGTTCAATTTAAAAGGTCTAGCAATAGAAGTGATGAGGAATGCCTTTTCCTGCTGAGGGGAAATTCTATAAGTATTCTATAAGTACATGATAAGGCAAGATTAGAACAAACAAAAATAATGACATGGTATTAAGTAATTTCAAATAGCTGCAGGACTTCTAACTTGGAAGCCAAGAACTCTTGGCAATGCATATTTTTCTAACGAAGTTCATTAAGTAATGTACCTTTAAAAATATTAATTAACCTGCATGTATTTGTTTCCAGGTGTTGCACCCCCTTCAACAGTTAGTCAGAATGCTCCTGTGACTCTTTCTGGAAATCTTCCTTCCAGCAGTCCTTATACAATTCCTCCAGAACCCACCCTGTCTCAAAATCCTCTTTCTATTATGATGTCCCGGATGTCCAAGTTTGCTATGCCCAGTTCAACACCGCTCTATCATGATGCTATCAAGACTGTAGCCTCATCAGATGATGACTCTCCTCCAGCACGGTCCCCAAATTTACCATCAATTAACAATCTTTCAGGTAAATAGAAAGAATCCTACAAACACTGTTAATTACATACAGTTCTACCATCTGTCTGGAGATAATGTAAATAAAAATAACAGTTATGTGGGAAAACAGAGGATTTTCTGAATTTTGCTCACTGAAATTATTCCAATAAATAGGGCGGTTTGAGAGCAAAGAATTGACTATGATTAGCCAGACATGAGTTCACAGTGAGCATAGTAAAAGGCATATGCTTGGGGTATTTTAATAATACTTTTCATAGGACACACATACTATAAGGATAATATGCAGGGGCTTCCCCCTTACTCACCGTTCCTTTTTCTTTCTTACCTTTCTGCCATCAGTACTTCTCTGAATATATTTCTTTATATTTAGAATGGAGCACTGTGATTGCCAGATTTCTTTAAATTATACAGTGGTGGCTAAAAGCTTATGAACCTTTTGAATTTTCAGTATTGCTGCATACATATATAGATCCACACAAGTCATCAAACTAGTTAAAGAAAACCCAGTTGAACAGGTCAAAAACATTTTGCTTGTTCATTTGTTCACTGAGAAAAATATAAGTGATACATTTGTGTATGGCAAAAGTATTTCTTTCAGTAACTGATGTGTCCATCGTGGACAGCAGTAGTTGGAACTAAATATTTGCAATAACTATCTTGCGTATCGACTTGGAAGAATTTCAGCCCATATCTCTTTACAAACAACTCCGGGATATTGGTGGACTTCCTTACATGAAATGCCCACTTACAAACCTTTCACAATATTTCTATGGGATGAAAACCAAACTTTGAATTGGCAATTCTCAAATAACTTTCTTTTGCTTTAATCATTATTTGTTTGGATGACTTGTGTATTTGAGTTGTCTTGCTGCATAGCCAACTTTTTCTTGAGCTTCACTTAATGGACAGTTACTCTGACATTTTCCTGTAGAATTTGCTGGTACAATTTCTTTTCAATGATAACAAACCATCCCTGCACAAAGGCAGCAAAGTAGGCCTGAATTACCATGCAGTCACTACCATGGTTCATAGATAGAATAAGATTTTTATGCACTATTTGTCTTTTGCCAAACGTAATGCTTTTCATGCAAGCCAAAGCTTCTTTTTTGGTTTTATCTATCAAAGAACATTCTTCAATAACCTTCTAGCTCATTGATTCTCAACCTTTTGTCCACCATGGACCCCCTTTAAATACCTTTTGTGGCCATGGACCCCCAAGATTTCTTGAGAGGCCTTTATTTTCTTAGATGTTAACCTGGATTTCTCTGAGTATTAGGCCCTTTGTTCTTAGTTGGTGAGCTACTTTTGGTTAGGGTAACAGTGGTGTTGAATTGCTTCTATTTTGTACATGATATGCCTGTCTGGGCTGGTAGAGTCCAAACTTTTTTTAAAAAAAATTGTAACTTTGTCTAGCCTGGTGAGTATCAATGGTAGAATCCAAACTTTTTTTTTAAAAAAAAATTAAAGGCTGGGGAGTATCAATAACTGATTTTAGAGATTCTCAGGAATGTATTTTTGAAGCCATGGCATATTTCTGCATGCTTGTGTTGTGAAGATCAGATTTTGATAGTGAATGCCCAAAATTCCATTATTTAAATAAATTCAATAAATAAATACAAAAGTGTTCATAAACTTTTAAGCACTATTATAATTTCTAGTATAAAGATGAGGAAAAAATGGATTTTGTTCCTGTCTGTCTTTGAAATAAGTATGCTTATCATACATATCTGTGAATTAGTTCCCAGTGCAGGAACCATATTCATATGGATGCTATGTTTTTCCATAATTAGCTATGTTAGAAAACGTGAAGTAATAATGCTGACTGATATTTTAGAATAGAACAGAACAGAATAACAGAGTTGGAAGGGACCTTGGAAGTCTTCTAGTCCAACTCCCTGCTCAGGCAGGAAACCCTATACCTGTGATGGTGAACCTATGGCACGCGTGCCACCTGTGGCATGCGGAGCCATATCAGTGGGCAAGCGAGCATTGCCCTAGCTGAGCTCCAACGTGCATGCGCATGCTGGCCAGCTGATTTTCGGGCCTTCTGGTCCCACTGGAAGTCAGGAAACGGGCCATTTCCGGCCTCCGGGGGGTTGGCATAGGCCGTTTTTGCCCTCCCCAGGCTCCTAGAAAGCCTCTGGAGCCTGGAGAAGGTGAGAAACTGGGCCACTGTGCCATCACGTGAGAAAAGCAGGGGGAGCACGGGGGGTTCGCATGTGCGGGGACGGGGTGCATTGAATTATGGGTGCGATCCCCGCTTTTGGCACACGATGGCAAAAATGTTAGCCATCACTGCCTTATACCATTTCAGAAAAATTGGTTGTCCAATCAATTGGTTAATTGGTTGTCCAATCTTTTCTTAAAAACTTCCAGTGTTGGAGCATTCACAACTTCTGGAGTCAAGTTGTTCTACTTTTATTTTCATAAAAGCTAGAAGCAGATTCTACAAGAGGATTCTTGGTAATTATTTTGCCTTTCTTGATCAGGTTAAATGTTATTTTAGATGTTTATCTAATCAGTTAGACTTTTCATCCCTAAAGTGCTAGGGCTTGAGTTGAAAGTATACTAAAGACAGCTCTTATATTTTCAACAAGATAGAAATTTAAAAAAAATTAGATGATTGTAGTCCTATGGCAATAAGGTTCATAGAGACTTGTGTGGCTAACAAGATTGTGTGAAAGATTAAATAAGTAATTTGATTTGGAGATTAAGGACAGTATACAAATCTAATAAAAGATAAAGAATCTGGACTACTACTTTGAATTAAATCATTGAATCAAATGTTCAAATTACTCAAAAATTTCAAGTGAAAGCAAATGATTTTCAGAATACTTTGGACAGCATTCAAATGACAGGTTTTCTGACTTCGGTGATTTTCAGTCATTTTTGTCTATTTCCTCAAACGAGGTAAAGAGGGGTTGAGGTGAGTGTGTGAAGGTTGAATTGTGTGAAGGTTCTTTGATATATGAAAAAGTTTTATTATTTCTGCAAATAGGAATACTGAAATCGGGTGGGTTCTAAATTTTTTTACTACCAGTTCTGTGGGCGTGGCTTATTTTGTGGGCATGCCTTGATGGCATGTGACTGGGTAGGCGTGGCCAACTCAATGTCAATCACCTCAAGGGGTGCCTCGCCTGGCCTCTCCCTTCCCAGCCATTCCTTGTTAGATCCAGCCTCAACGTATCTATAGTTCTGTAAAAATGTTGTTCACCTTTTTTCAACTTTATTATCTACATACTATAGATGCACTTTCATGGACTACTGAATAGAGAAAATGGCTCACATGCTTTGCCCAAGAGTGTGATAGGTAACAGGCTTTTAACGGGCTGCCAGAAAGAAAGTGGCGGTGTGTGTGTTAATGTATTTTCCAAAGCACCAGAAGGCAAAACAAGAAGCAATGGATGGAAACTGAACAAAGAGAGAAGCAACCTAAAACTAAGGAGAAACTTCCTGACAGTGTGAACCAATATAGGTGCAAAAATATTTCAGTCATTATTTCACATATAAAATAGCCATTTGTGTAATACAACCTGCATATTGTTCAAAACAGTCATTAGTATTATGGCTGATGTTTAACAGCAAGCCTAAAAGTCAAAGATTACAGGAGTGCTCCTTTCTCTGTATGTATACAAAACATCACACACCAGGAATAGCATATTAAGATGGACTTATTCAGTGATGGGTTTCAAAAATGTTTACTACTGGTAAACCGGAAGTTCGGCTCCATTTACAAGCAGGCAGAAAACTCATTCAAGACAGGATATTTCACAATGGAAATCGCCCAAACCTTTTTAGAAACACAAAGCCCATGTTGCACAAACCCCAAAACTTCAAAAACATAGAACCATATAAGAATCCCTCCTCTTATCTAGCTTGTTGTTCAGCTGATCCAGAAACGAACTGGTGAATGTCACTTCGCTCTGCGAGCAAAAACCTCCTTCCAGCAGCTGCTTCTTGGCTTGCCAATTTAAAGTGATAGCGTCTTTTTTTCCCCCCCATGGTTGAGAAGGAGTCCTGATTTTTTCCTTCTAGCTGATCAGTTGGGAGGCTTCTTGGCTTCTCAATTTAAAGTGACGGTGTCTTGGTTTTTTCTCCCTCTTCTTTGTCAAGTGAGCCCTGATTTTTTCCTTCTAGCCGATCAGCTGGGAGTTGGGAGGCAGCGAATAGATTGGGGCCAGGGCTGGGCAGAGGTGGTATTTACCGGTTCCCCGAACTACTCAAAACTACTCACTAACGGTTCGCAAGAACCGGGGAGAACCGGTAGCAGCCCACCACTGACTGAAATGCATCCTGCTTTTTGTGTGTCGGTTTTAGCTAGTATTTGTGTAAGCAGTTTTGCTTAGAAGAAGAAAAAGAATTCAGATTTATTCTGTTTATGTTCCTTATGTGATTTGCATTTTTTTGTATAGGCTTGGATCTTTTATCCTTACTCTTGTTTGCTTCTCACTATATGTAGTGTAGTGCCTATTGGTCTCTGTATTGCCTATCTGGCATTCATTAGCACTTTTGGTCCCCTTCATTCATACCTATTTTTTTAAAAAATAATTTTCTTTCTTTTCTGTTTGTAATGTATGTCTTGTCTGGTTCTGGATGAGTTCTTTTCTTTGCCTGAGTGAGTTTGAGATTGCATCCTTGCTGTTCGACTATTTTGTATATAATTCAGATAAAAAAAGTCTGAAAAATATGTTACTAGAAATTAAGTTGCAGCATACAAACCAGGGGTGGGTTCTACTTATCTTTATTACCGGTTTGCATTGCGCCCGCTTCTGCGCATGCACAGATCACCTATGTTGACGTCTGGGTCAGTGAGCCTCCCGCTGGTTTTACTACTGGTTCTTGCGAACTGTTCCAAACCAGGAGCAACCCACCACTGATACAAACACATTTTCCTTAGAAGAATTTGCTTTGCCAATAGTTATGCTTATGCAGCTAGAAAAACAAGGGTTCTTGAAAGTGAGATTGTTAAACTGTTGTATGATTTTATTCTTTAAAAGAGTTTTAGAAGGCTTTTATATATGAGTTGAGAGTTTTCCAACATTGTTTCAGCAATTTTTATAAGCTCTTTGGAGAAATTTGAAATCTGGTGCTGACTGTTAAAATTCTGCCACAAAATATTACAAACCTGTCTGATCAAACTCTGCAGAGTTGATGTTATCCTATGCTCTTTTCTTATAAAGATAAGGCAAGAAAAGTAGGCAGAACATGCATCTGGAATTTTTCCAACCCCTTTACTAGCAGTGGCTATAGAAGGCATCTGTATTTTCTCTTAGTAATAAAGTAACATTATATATTTCTGTGTGTATATTTCTTCTCTTCCATCATGTTTTCTGTGTGCATGCACTCTGGAAAACACAGAGCATTTTAAAGATTTTTTTAAATTTCAACTTTGTTTTTTTTAAATAAACAATTCAATGCAGTGAATGTTCCTAATACGCCTTCCTCCTCCTATTTTCCCCCCAACAACAATCCTGAGGTGAATTGGGCTGACAGAAAGTGATTAGCCCAAAGTCAATTAGCTGGCTTCCATGCCAAAGGTAGAATTAGATCTCAGAGTTTCCTGGTTTCTAGCCTGGTGCCTTAACTACTAGACCAAACTGGCATACTCCACTCTGATGACAGGAAAGGAGAGACAGAAGCTTAGAATGGAAGAATCAGTAATGTTTGAAGGTGCTAACTCTTCCGTAGTATTGAGTTTGAGGGGATGGTGGTGGATATTTTATCCATAGCCCCCTGGTCTATTTTTGTAGTTAAGATACTTTCCTGACTGTGCCTGATATACCAAATTGGGTCCCATTCCATACAGTTTTCAGAATTACTATACTAACGGAGTTACAAATTCTGTTACAATGGACATTGACAGAAGTCAGTTGCGAAGGTCACAGTGATGATCATGGGAGGCTGTGTCTGTCCTAAATCTGTACCAATTGACAAGCACCAAAGTCACAATCATTTGATGCAGGGATGCTGCAGGGGCCATAAGCCAAGGACCAGTCATAAATCTACATTTTTATTGTTGTCAACATTTTGAACAGTCGCTGAATGAAGCAGTCATTAGCCAAGGACTACCTATATGTAATTTCTTTGCCACATCATGCTGGGTTGGAAAGACTAGGCAAGATAGGGAAAGAATAGAGACTATTGTCACCAGAATTCTTTTCACTCTTGATTGCTGCCCAGTTTTTAGATTTTCTCTCTCTACAGTTTCTAACTGATCTGGCCCATTTTTGAACATTATTTTGTTATTGGCTTCTTCCAAACAATAATTTTGTCCAATTCTATTTGATTTTTAGAAAGTTATCCTGCTCACGAACAAGTTCCAGGCTCCTTTATCTAATCTCTGTCCAGCATTCTGTAGAGCTAGAAAGAGTAAATTAGAGAGACTGAGTGAACATGGCTTTTTGGAACCTTTCCAGCTACTTTACCAGCAATGTATGAGGTGTTATCTACAATCCCCTATTTTTCTGGGCTAGAGTGGATAAAGCCCTTTGTTGAATGTGTTTTTATGTGTTGTTTTATTGGATTTCCCATCTTATTCATTGTATAGTATTTATATCTTGTTCCTGGTAGGTGAGTTAAGTCATAATGTTTCAAGCATAGCTAGCAGCTCCGCCTTTCCTTTATACACAGGGGATATTTTTTATTGAACACCCTCCCCCCCCGAAGATCATGGTTCACAAGCCAAACTAACATAGCAAAACAGGCATACAGCTCAAGTCTGGGCTCAGAAGCACTGAGGAAGAAGCTGAGGTGTGTTCTGGAGATAATATAATTATCTGTAAAACAAGAAAGGATAAATCTCCAGAGTAAGAACATTGTAGGCCCAAGCGTAAGTTGGATGCTGCTTCAGGCTATATGTTTAGGATCAAGCATGCTTATGTAGCATACCTGCAAGTTGTTTGCACAAGAGTGGCCTTCTGTGGAACATACTTTGAGGTCTGTAACTGTTTTCATCCTGTTTTGTTCCCCAAAAGCTGATGTTTCTGAACTTCCCCATTATAGGTTATAGTTGAATTTTGTTTTATCAGATCAAATTGGTTCAATTCTTAAATAAAGGTGTCAGCTCAAAACCTGTAGTCATTAAATTTTACTCATATCTTAGTTGATCCAGAAACCCCAATGGTTATTAATGCTTAGAAAGGAGGCAATATAACAACAGATGACCTGTAACTGTCTGGATTTCTTATTTATGTTACCTTAGGTGATTTTGCTTGTAATTGTTATAGCTTCTTGAAACAGTATAGGAGACATATTACCATATTTCTTTCTAAAGCATGATTTAATTATTGTATTGATATTTTCTGAAATGTATTGAGTTTGAACTTCTCCTGTAAAAATATTGATGAGATTGTAAGTGGTACTGAAAATACTGACTGTGTAAGTGATATATGGACTAGATTATGCCTGAGAATCCCTTACACTGCAGCATCCTTGGTCTGGCAGAGAAGCCAAAGTTTTAAAAATTCAGTCACTTAGACAGTCGTGAGACAAGCATGATCAGTATGGGTCTACATCTGTTTTTCTACCTCTGTGTTTTCTTTAGCAGAGAAATGTTTCTCTAATAACAGATAATATGGAGGAAACAAATAAGGGTATATAGAAATATCTTGCATGAAACACTTTAGTATAGTAATGAAGAAAAGTGGTTTTGTGTCTATTAAATGGTTTTATGTTTTTACTTATTTTGTTCTAATGTGCTTTTCTCTTTTCTCCAGGAATGGGCATTAATCCCCAGAATCCTCGTGTTTCTGGTCCCAACCAAGCAGGCTCAATGGCAACTCTTAGCCCAATGGGAATGACACAGCCACTAACTCATAGTAATCAATTGCCCTCTCCAAATGCTATGGGAGCCAATATACCTCCTCATGGGGTTCCTGTAGGACCTGGTTTGATGTCACACAATCCAATGATGGGCCACAGTTCCCAAGACCCACCAATGGTACCTCAAGGACGCCTGGGCTTCCCACAGGGATTTCCTCCAGTACAATCTCCTCCCCAGCAGGTACCATTTCCTCATAATGGTCCTAGTGGAGGACAAGGCAACTTCCCAGCTGGAATGAGCTTCCATGGGGAAGGACCTCTGGGGCGACCCACCAGCATGCCCCAAAGTTCAACCGATCCAGCACTTTGTAAGTCTGGAGGTCCAGGGGGACCAGACTCTTTCACAGTTCTAGGAAACAATATGCCTTCAGTTTTTTCTGATCCAGAGCTACAAGAAGTGATTCGCCCTGGAGCCACTGGAATACCAGAATTTGACCTGTCCAGGATAATTCCATCTGAGAAGCCAAGCCAGACATTACAGTATTTCCCTCGTGGAGAAGTACCAGGCCGCAAACAGCCACAGAATATTGGGCCTGGCTATTCTCATATACAGGGAATGATGGGAGAACAGAATCCAAGAATGGGGCTGGCATTACCTGGTATGGGAGTCCCTGGTGGCACACCTGATATTCCTCTTGGCACAGCATCCTCTATGCCAGGCCATAACCCTATGAGACCACCTGCCTTTCTGCAACAAGGAATGATGGGACCTCACCACCGGATGATGTCACCAGCACAAACAGCAATGCCTGGCCAACCCACCCTAATGAGCAACCCAGTAGGCATGATTCCAGGCAAGGATCGAGCTGCTGCTGGGCTATACAGCCATCCAGGACCTGTAGGTTCACCTGGTATGATGATGTCAATGCAGGGCATGATAGCACCTCAACAGAACATCATGATTCCTCCACAGATGAGGCCACGGGGCATGGCTGCTGATGTAGGAATGGGAGGATTTAGCCAAGGCCCTGGAAATCCAGGGAATATAATGTTTTAAGCTGCTACATAAAGACTGGATGGTTCCAATCCTTGTTGAGATGAGATTCCAGGAGCACAGTTTGATCATGCAATAGGTGAAAACAGACCAGAGGATGCTTTGGAAAATCTCGAATGTATGGAATTTCCTGAAAACAAATGAATTCATTTTAACAGGTTGTTTTTTTAAAATTTATTTTTTAAAAATTATTTTTGTGTACTTGGGTATCCTGTGATGGCACCTGCTTTGAAAATCTGTAGCTGTATTTTGAGAATTGCCATTTGTCACGAGTTGCACCATTCTCTGTATGTTTACGTCCTTCGGACTGGCTTCTCCCAGGACTCACTTATCTTTGGGGATTATTTTTGTGTACTGTACTATATTGTAAAAGGGATTTTAGCAGAGACTTTAGTCTTGGGGGTGAAAGGCTGTTTACTTTTAGGTGGAAAATCCATCTTCAGAACTTTGGACTATTTTCCTTCAACTCAATCTATAGAAAAACCAAACTACAACCTCAGAGCAGAGTATTAATGAAAAGCACAAAAGGAACTGAAGTTCAGTGAGGGGGGTAAACTTTAAAAAAAAAATAAGTTAAGGACATATTTTTCAGATTATGAGTGCTGTCCAGCACTTTGTCTCTCCCTCCCACCCCTTTACTGTCTCCTCCTCTGGCAGCTGCAATACATTGTATTATTTTGGGGAGCATATCTAGGAGAGCCCCTTCTTGTGCTGAGAGTGTTACCACTTTCAGGAAGAGGCTGGACTTGGACACTGTTACACTTGAAAGTAGTCTTACTGTTTCTTATTTTCTCAGCACCCCTGCCTCCTCCCCACCCAGTGACATTAACGTGGGAGTGGAACAGACACTAAAAGTTATCCTGACTTTTTTGTGGCTTTTTTTTTGTCCCCAGCGTAAAACGTTCTGTGTAACCTCCATTAAATTTGGTACAAAACCACTTGCCAGGGCTGTGGTGTCAGAAAAATAAAATATATTGTTTCTTACAAAAAATATATATCAAATGAGTTTCATAATATTCTGCCACAATCTATAGCTGCCTTGTATTTTCATTCATTTACAAATTTGCCTTGTATAGTTTTTGTACTTCTAGAATAGTTCTTAACTTAAGTAAGGATTTATCTAAAATACATATTTCATCTTAAACTATAGACTACCTTACCATGCAAAGTAAAAGAAACAATATTGTGCCCTCAAAAGGTTCTTGAAGAGCTACCATGGCATGCAAAAACAATACATTGAAGTTTCCAGTGAGTTCCTAAGCCAATAGAAGCAATTTCTAAGCTTGCCTAAGCAAACAAACTGACAGAGCAACCTCTGCTTGGTATAAATGAAATACAGTGCATGGTCCTTAATATATCTACATGGAAGGAAAAATATATTGGAATCCCTCCTGGACACAAGGCCCTTGATGATTTTTATAAATGACACGAATAAACACATATCAATTTTTTTGATGACACAGGTTACGTCAGATGGCAGACTAAATTCAGAAGGATCCTGATTTGAATAATGGGCTCTACCCTATAATGTGCAATACAGCGATGGGAATTGTTACAATTCTGCACTTAAATAGGAAAAAAACCCAGATAGAGATACAAGATAGATGCTACTTGATTCGATATATCTACTTAATTATTAAATCTTGTGACAATCTTTATTAAATCTGGTATTCTGATAAAGCATATCAGATTGTTGCATTTACAAATGTATAATGTCATGATCACAGGAAATGACAATTTCATTTTATGCTGCATTGGTTAGATTACACCGGAGTAATATGTTTAGTTTGGGTTGCTACAATGTAGGAAGTGTGTTAAGGAACTAGGAGAACTGCAAAGAGACAAAGGTGGCTTGAAACCAAAGAAGGACTTGAACTCTAAATCCTACAAAGACCTATTAAAGGAATTGGGAATGATTAGTCTAAAAAAGAAAGCTAAGAAGCAGCAGTCTTCCAGTATTTGAAAGACTGTCATAGGGAAGAGGTGTGGATTCATTTACCATAGTGCCCAAGGATAGGACAAAAATCCTTACAGAAATCCAAATTCACAATAAGGTATAATTTAAGAGTTACTCTGCCTCCTTGAGCTGGAGACTTTTAAGCAAAAGTTGTGCAATTATTTGTCTGATGATGGTTTGATAACGCTGCTTTGGGCAGCAGGATGGATTAGAAGATCTTGAAGAACCCTTCCAACTGATTCTAATTCATTTTAAGAAAGGTGAGTCAACTAGTGAACAAACACCTGTGTTGGCCAACCTCTCAGATTGTGGTGGTCTTTCAAGAAGTTTGGACTCCTCTAACCATTTGAAATAACTGCCTGTTGGTGTTGGTAAGAGTGGCAAGCCACTAAAATATAAATTGAAAGCAAGCCCTACTCCTTACTAGCACTGATGATATTATGTAGTTTGGGTAATGAAATGTCAGTTAAGAAAGCAACCAAGCTCAGCATTAAGGACCCTTCATTTCAACCCTGACCTAATGTCATATAGTCAAGTGAACAAAAGAAAGTAAAGAGAGGCTGGGTATTTCAGCAAGAAAATGACAAAAAAAATATGCCTCAAAATTAACAAATATATGCTAAGTTTTTTGAATGGATTTCACAGTTTCCAAACAATACTGAGTATCTCTGGGAAGAGTATTTCTCAGCTACAAGACTTAGGTAAGATAGAGTGGGGAAAAATCTCAAAAGCAATAGCACGTTTCCAAATCACTACAGCTAACGTTTGATAATTTAGCCAAAGGACTGTTACAAAGGCTGAATGAGATGTCCAAATTTATGCATTAAAGTAACACATACTTCTGTATGAATTACTTTATTTTGAATCTATAAACTGAATATAAATGATAAGAATGCATTCAAGTTTGCAGAAAGATTCAAGGTTCAAGTTTGCATTATGTAGAAGTTGTCAGCTGTTCACTTAACATTCACTGAAATATTGATTAGAGCTGCCTAAACCTGCAGGCAATTGTATTTTGAATGTTATGCATATCACTGTTAGCAGTGTAACCTTCCTAAACATGAGCAGATTTCCCACATTCTGGTCTTCCAAATGTACAGACCAAAACAAAATGTACTTTTAAGAAATCTCACCAATTGCCATTGCGGTTGAGGGATTCTGGAAACTAAAACATGCATCTGGAGATGGCCTTGGATGGAGATGGGACAGTTTCCTTTAGTGTTTTAACACACAAAGCTAAAAAGTAGGAGACTTGACTGCTAGTCCTGCCTTAGGCCTGAAAGCTGGCTGGGGAATATCTCAGTCCAGCCTGCCTCACAGGGTTACTGTTGGGAGAGTAGGAAGTGGAAAAACTGTTTGCTGCCTTGAGTTATATATAAAAATGATAAAGGCAGGATATTAATAAATACCTGGTAAACTATCTGTTTTCTCTAAAAATATGTATTTCGTACATTTGGAGTAGCTATTAATAAATCACTTAGATTTATTACTACTGCCTTGCTGACAGATGTCAGGTTAAATATTCACTGTGATTATTTTTTTTCCCTTGAAGAGGAATCTTTATTAAGTCACCCTGTGCCATGTGTTTTTTGCCTAACATCACTTTGATACATTTAGCCAGGATTGGAACAATATTTTCAGCCGTGGGCTAACTTGACCAAAGCTAAAGATATAATGAAATGCATGAAAATAGTGGGTATGACCAATCTAAACCCTTAAGTTTAACACAAAAATATTATTTACTATTCCACCATCTTAGCTATCCATGCAGATCTGCAGGTCAGATGTGAATTCTTTCCCTATTCAGCTGTGGAGCAGGCTTGGAATTAAGGTTTGGTAACTAGAAAGATAGCTGAAGAATATCTATAGATAGTGAATTTAGGTAGCCTACTTTTGCTATAACCCATAACAAACACTCTGATTTGCACAATCAGATACAAATACTATTACTATAATAGTAATATTTGTATAATATTACTATTATAATATTGTATAATATTATAATATTGTATAATATAGTATAATAGTATACACAAATACTATTAACAGTTAAGAGCCACATGGAATGTCCATTGATTTCACTACTTCAGCAATTAACATTGTCTGCATTCTTAAAAATAGTAAACGTACACAAACATATTTTCTGGCTCAATGATACACACAGCTAATTTGTTTAACCATTTCCTCTAGGATACAGTATCTAATCAGCTCTCGCATTTCAGGTTTCAAATGAGAAATTATTTTTCAACCTTAGCTTTATTGACTGATGTAATAAGGACAACATAACTGTTAAAAGAAAAACTTTATTATCCATAATGAAAGTAGTTTCTAAGAGCTATACTTTTAGGCAGGTTCTTTATTTAAATTAATATTAATTAAAAATATGTAGGAAAAATTAGTTCTGTGATTATACCTTAACTTTAAAATATTGTATACAAAGATGACTATAATCATCTCAAGTTAAAATGTTTAGTAAGAGATTCAAACTTTAAAAAGCAGGCCATGTTCTTTATGTACAAAAAGAAACTTAAATATATTACTGAAGGAATATATTATGAAGAACCATATTCTAATTGCTCTTTGACATTAATATCTGCAGGTAGTAATGTATACCCTGTCTAAAATAATTTACATTCTACTGATAATGCTCATTTCCAAAATGTAAAACCATGATTCATTTTCACCATTATAACAAGCCTTTTCTTGCTGTTTCAGCTACTAAATTATAACAATGATTAATACAATATTTTTACAATATTTAGAAGAGTAACGTGTGCTTTCCTGATCAATTGTGTTGTAAAACTGCCTCTTCTGTTTGGGAACAAATCATTTTATACACCAGTGGCTTTGTGCTATATATTGAAAGAGCATTTAAAAAATCTTCTAGTGGACACAAGCCATCTTTACATCCTCTGGGAATCAGCTCCTATAGTAAAAGAATTAATAAAGTTATTTTTTAAAAAGAGATTTGAATAGCCATCCTTATATAAAATAACTCTGGAAAGCTAACAAATAACAAAAGACTAATTAAAAAACAACTCAAACCACCAAGCCCTGTAACAGGGGTATCAAACTTGTGGCCCACAGGCCAGATGCGTCATCCGCTGGCCACGCCCTCCCCTGATTAGCAACGGGGGGGGAGTTGCGATACGTCACGTGATGATGTGACGCCACGAGTTTGACGCCCCTGCCCTATAACAATCTCATTGCAGAATCACAAATATCGGACTCTTGTTCCCCTCCTGACTCAGCTACCTGAAGTAAAATCCAAATCTTAACCAGAAGGTGAGGAGAAAAGGGGCTCTTGCAACTAAGGAGGAAGGCTGTACCACAAGGAAAGCACAGCTATGGAAGACACTTGCTTCCTAGGTCCTACTATATGGAAACATTTAAAAGAGGCAACTTGAAGCAAGCAAACTAGTAAGACGGGGAAGCGCTTAGGGAAAAGCAGTTCCAAGGGTAACCTGGTCCCATGCCATATACAGTTTAAAGATGACAATCTGTACCTTGAATTGTCATTGGATCTATTTTTGAGCCCAACTCCCCCAACTTTTTGGTAAATGGGCTCATTTCAAATTCTGAATGCATTTCATGGATATGTTAATTGCCATGGGAGAAAAAGAAGCATGCCCATTCTTAAAACAGTTGCCCTGAGCAATGAAAAAAATCCAATGAGATACAGAGCGCATATGGCATCTAGGGGAGATTGATACATTGATACCTGCAGTTATGGACCTAATTTATAGGGCACATCAATTATTTAGGGCACATTGATTATTTCTTCGGAAGCATTGTAGTATAGGAACAGTACTGATTGCCTCAATTTTTAAAAAGGCAGCATGGTAAAGATCCAATATGCTATTTTTAGAAAGTGATGTGATCTGTTATATTGCTTGAATATTCATATAAAACATGCGACCTGACACTTGCTAAGGGGACCCACGTGGTAGTAGCGGATCAGAATTTGTACCTCTCCATTATAGATCAGTCGTATAAACCAATCCTTGGAATGCTGATAGAGTTCCAGAGTCACATCTGCTGCATATGGAGGCCATTTTG